TTATGCTAGAGCAAAGAATGTCCCCGCATATCGTTTTCTACAAAGGATCCTCAGGGGGGCCGATCTTGGCCCCCCTGGGATAGTGTAAACTCATATTTAGGATGGACATGTGGTCATAATCATAAATGATCTACGTACCCGGAAGGGGGGCCGATAACGCCGGGGGGGGGGTAGAGTCTGTTCAAGGAAAATGCACCAACGCCCGCATTGAGTTGTCAGCTTCACTGCTCGCGCAATCATCCCACCCACCCGCCCACAACTTGGTTTGCATAACCCATGCGTCGGCGGTTCTTGTGAGTGCTTGGCGCTGGCTGGTGCATCTTGCTCGCGCGAGCATCGGCCAGCTAGTTTGGCGCGACCGGCGCGGCCGCGGTGGCGGTGACCGCTGGGCACTTCCCAGCGGGGACTTCAGTGCGAATCGGTGAATTGGGCGGGCGCGGTCTCGTGGCGACGCCGACAACGGTGGACGCGATGTTGAGAGTGGCGATGATGGTGACGGTGGTGGCGAAGACGACGGCAAGGCCAATGACGGCGCCGATATTGATCACGTCCGCCGATAACAATCACTGACGGCGTCCTCGCGTCGGCGATGAAGGTTTTTGAAGGAGTTCGATTTCGGCATGCGTCGCGAAAGGCCCGCGTGGTAGATTTGATGACCATGTTGAAAAGCCGATGGTGCTTCAAGAATTCGCAAGAGAGCGCGCGATTTTTTTTTGAAAACGGATGTTGCAAAACCAGATGTTTGTTTACTGTGTGTTTCGGGGCACTCGATTTGAAGTCCCCACGCAGTGTTCGATTTCTGAGAGATTCCGAAATGCGCGCGCGACGACGTGCGCGCATGCGCATTGTCAGTTTTGCTGTTCAAAATCATTCTTGCGACAACACGCGCGCAAGGGCGTTCGAACGATTTCGACATGCGCGCGCGGGAGGCCCCTCTTAGTAACATGTTATAAATTTGTTGAGAAACCGGTGACTTGCATAGCATCGAGAATTTGCAAGAGCGCGAGCGCAGGGTTTTTGTGTTGAAAATTCGTGTTGCGGAACCATATTTGTTGTCAAACAAATTTTCGAGATTGACATCCAGAGGTCGCCTAAGGTTTTTGAACAATTTGGGCATGCGCGCGCGACGTCGCGCGCGTGTGCGCGTCGCCATATGGTTGGAATATAATTTGATACCCGATGTTTTTTAATAATCGATTGCGCGCGCATGTTTTTTCAAGAGGATGGCAGGGGGGATACCTGCTGGAATGTCACGACTTAAGTTTCATGATATTCGATCAGTCCTTGGGGGGTATCCTCGACGTAGTGGCATCCACGTTCTGCAATCTGCGTGGTGCAATCTATGTTGTGCCGCCTGTTGCGTGCAATATAACTGGTGCGGTACATGGGGTGCGATATGGTGTGTACAACCTATGTGGTGCAATCAGTGTCGTCCACTCTATGTTGTGAGTTTTTGTTGTGCCATGTGTGTCGTGCAATGTATGTTGCGCAACATACAGGGTGCAATCAATTTTACCTAAGAGCTCTTGCTGATAGGTTTCTAGTGGTCTCAAAAGAGAGCATCATGACTCCTCAGGGGGGTCTGGGCGGGACCCGGGAAGCTGCCGCCGAAGCCGAAATCGCTTGGGACATCCTCGCAAAATCGCTCTTGGTGCTCCCAGAACTCCATTCCCGGGCCACATTTTGGATGCCCAGAGCCAACTGTAGGCCACTTCGTGCTCTTCGATTTCCCAGAACTCCATTCCCGGGCCACATTTTGGATGCCCGGAGCCAACTGTAGGCCACTTCGTGCTCTTCGATTTCCCAGAACTCCATTCCCGGGCCACATTTTGGATGCCCGGAGCCAACTGTAGGCCACTTCGTGTTCTTCAAGTTCCCAGAACTCCATTCCTGGGCATGATTTTGAATGCCCGGAGCCAACTGTAGGCCACTTCGTGTTCTTCTAGTTCCCAGAACTCCATTCCTGGGCCACATTTTGAATGCTGAGGCAGGCTGATGCTGCGGCCGAGGCAGGCTGAGGCTGAGGCAGGCTGAGGCTGAGGCCGAGGCTGAAGGCAGACTGAGGCTGAGGCTGAAGCAGACTGAGGCTGAGGCTGAGGCAGGCTGAGGCTGAGGCTGAAGCAGGCTGATGCTGAGGCAGGCTGAGGCTGAGGCTGAGGCTGATGCAGGCTGAGGCTGAGGCAGGCTGAGGCTGAGGCCGAGGCTGAAGGCAGACTGAGGCTGAGGCTGAAGCAGGCTGAGGCTGAGGCTGAGGCAGGCTGAGGCTGAGGCAGGCTGAGGCTGAGGCTGAGGCAGGCTGAGGCTGAGGCTGTGACTGCGACTGCCGTTGCCGCTGCGACTGTCATCGCGAATGCGACTACGACTGCGAGAACAGCAGAATTCGACAACTGGATTTTCATCTGAATCTTAAGGGGAATGCTTTCAGATATGCTTCTACACATCGCTGTTAGGTTGCTTTGCCGGGATAATTTTTGTGATATATGTTGTGCAATCCAACGGTGGTGACGACAGGCGACGTCGGCGACAGGGCGGCGATGGCGACGACATAGCCTCCAGACCGACAGACGTGCCCAATTACGGGCGGCGACGGGAGGACGACGTTGCGGCGACGAAATGGCGATGGCGGCAACGTAGTTGCCAAGCCGACAGACAGGCCCAGCTACGGGCGGCGACGAGGCGGTGACAGGGCGGCGATGGGGGTAACATCCGACAGACAGGCCCAGCTCCTTAGAAGACAACTAACAACTCCGACGTGCAAACACTGTTTTGGGGAACGATACGTGTAATACATGTTCCTTCGAGGGCCATTTTGTTGGGCATGCTACGCGTGTTTCGAGGGGGCCGTCGGCACTACATGAGGGTATCCAGCAACGTTGCGAGATCAGCAATAAGTACGGTGTCGCCAAATTCTCGGACAGCGATCAGAAGGAGCGTGTGTCCCATCAGCCGTGGCTCTGAGGTCTGCTCGACGCAGAGCGGAGCGGTCGCAGGGGCAAGCAAAAGGCCGTGCGCAGGAAGGGCTGGAACTGCTGGAAGCGGATCGGCGAGCGCAAGCGGTTGCCCATCAGGCGGACCAGGCCGTGGCGCTTGCGCCCCAGCACTGCGGCCGGCGCCTCCGGCGCGGTCCGCCGTGGGGCTCGCGACCGCGCGGCGCCCGCCCCTGCCCGTCGGTGCCGCCCTCGCCCGCCGAGCCCGTCGGGCGCCCCGCGCGCCCAGTCCCTCCCGCGCGCGGCCCCGCTGCCTCGCAGAGGGGCCCATGCCGACCTGCTCCCGGCGCGCGCGGCGGAGGCGCGGTCACCGCGGCGGCCCTGCCGGGAGGTGCGCGTCCAGGAGGGCAGGGGCGCGCGGCCGGCCACCGCGGCCGGCCTTCTGCGGCAGGGCGCCATCCCTCGGGAGCCTGCTCTGCGCCAGGGCCGGCGCGGCGGGCCTTCGCTGCGCGGGGTGCGCGCCGCGCGCCGCGCAGCAGCTGCCCAAAGGGGGCGGTTCCGCGCCGGGCGTCGGCGCCGGCGCTTGCGCCCGCTCTGCTCGCCACCGGGAAGCTTGGTCAGGCTGCGAGGTGTCAGGAGAGAAAGAAACACACAGACACAATTAATCGTCGACTCCCAGGAAAATATGCAAAAATATGGGAAGTGGTGGGGAAGACAAAAACCCAGAAAATATGGGAAAATATGGGGGATATTTTTATTTGTGTGTATTTATTTGTGTGTTCCAGTTCCCCTTCAAGGTGTTCGGCTTTCAGCGGCCAGGGGGAGCAACGGCTCGAGAAGGGCGCGAAGCTGCTCTGCAGGAAGGAAGGTGAGGCCCTCGGAGTGGAGGGCTTCCCTGGGTTCGAGGGAGAGCTGATCAGGGCAACCGCCGCGCTATGTTTTTCACAGGGGCTTCTTTGGAGGGACCCGTCCCGGGACCTCCTCTGGGCTCGCTGGCGCGCTGGCGTGGCCTCGCGCATTCGCGCCAGGGAACGCCCGCCCGGCTCTCGCCGGATGCGACAGAGTTTGCTCCCGAGGCTGGCCGGGGCATCCGTGATCGTGCAGCCCGCCGCTCGTGGACGTCTGCGGCGCTTGCGGGGAGCAGACCCCCGCCGCGGCCAGGGCGCGCCACGGATTTGCATGCTTCGAGGTGTCGTGTTTGCGGCGGTGCTTGCGCCATTATCTGAGCCGCCTGGTTCGCCTTCTTCGGATCTCCTCCCCCACATCCTCTCGCCGCCCGAGCCTGGGACTTACCCGTGTCCACCGCCCGGTAGGTCGATCTCTCTTGACCTCGGCAGGCGCCGGATATGGACATGTCCGGACCCCTGAGGCCGCAGCGTATCAGCATCCACAGCCCCCTGGGGTCCCAGGACATCGGCTCTCCAGGCGGTGGGCCTTGACACATCCCAGAGGAACAAGAAGCCATGATCGGGGGAACGTAAGACTCGGGTAAGCCGGAACTCGGGTTTGCCGACGTTTTTTGACGAGCGCGTCCTGGATTTTGACGGTCCAGTTTTCGTGGGATGTTTGCAGTGGGAGTTCGCGTCAAATTTCAGATTGCGTCTCGTCATTTTTATGGTGGACCCCGTCAGGCCAACCCGCGTCCCCCGTACCCGAGTCTTACGTCTCCCCGACATGATAATGGCACGTTCCAAGGTTGCTGGGATGTCAAAGATTCCAGGATGCCTTGCTGAGCCGCACTTGCTCTGCAGGCAAAAGGAGCGAGCGAGCGAGCGAAGCCGGGCCCCGACGCCGCATCGGCAGATGTACTGAACTTACGAATCGCACGCGTGCTGGCATGCAGGAAAGCACGCGGCTGCACACTGTCTCGGGGAGCCGTCGTTGCAGCCTTTGTTTCTGATGAGGTGCGAGGGTCGGTCGCGCAACATGTTAGAGGGGGAAGAGGAGGCGGGCGAGGGTTCCAGTGGCGTTTTACCACCAGATATTTGTGAAGCTCCTGGAACGGATCGTGTCCCATCCAATCGTGGCATCCTTCTCGTCCTAACATCCCCCCTGCGCCCCGTCGGCCGCAAGGGCGGCTGCTTTCCCGCGGCGTCTCCGCAGCAGCCGCTTGCCTTTGGAGGCCGGGGACGGCAAGGGTAGGCAGGAAGGAGCATCGAGGATCCAGGATCGGGGATCAAGAAGACGGAGGTGGAGGAGGAGGAGGAGGAGGAGGAGGAGGAGGAGTGTAAATCGAAGAGTCATCAACGAAGTTGGAATTAACCCTCCCTCCAAGCTCCCTCATAGGCCCCTGCAACGGTTCATTTCCATTGAGAGAACTGTCTTGTTGGAAGACAACCTTTTGAAGACCCTGAAGCATGCCAAAACATTATTCTCGGGATTTCAACGCCACGGATCAACCTTACTGCTGCGTCTTGACGATCCGGAATCGTGCCAGAGCGCCGTTTTTGGGACTTCAACGCCGCGAATCAACATAATTGCTGCACTCGCATAATCCTGAATCCCTTCAAAACACTATTTCTGGTACATTGACCATGGGAATCCGTGAAACTCTTCCAAATCTTTGATACGAATGTGCGCGGCGCTAAGGCGAGAGAAAATGAGCCGCCCTCAATGCGTGAGAAGCTCTTGTAAATTCGTTTAACGAATGTGCGCGGCGCTAAGGCGAGAGCCACATTTTCAAAACGACCCGCCCTCACTCCGTGAAACTCTTCCAAATGTTTGAAAGAGCGTGTTCTATCGCTGCTGGCGGAAAACTGGGGGGAGTCACTGGAGGTTCCCAACCCGTCCCACCGCCACCTCGAAAACCGGGGGGGTCACTACCGGTTCGAACCCCCCCCCCCAGTCCATAATGAAAAGGGGGGGGTCACTACCGCTTCGAACCCCGGGCCCCCCTCGAAAACCGGGAGGGGTCACGATCGCTTCGAACCCCCCCCCAGTCCATCATGAAAAGGAGGGGGGGAGAAAGGGGGGGGCTCATTACCGGTTCGAACCCCCTCCCCCCCCCGCTCGAAATTTGGGGGGGTCACTACCGGTTCGAACCCCCCCCCTCGCCGCCGGCAAACGATTCCCGCTCCTCGGGACAGTTGGACAGTGGTGGGGATACTGGGACAGTGGTGGGGACGGTGGTGGTCGGGACAGTGGTGTGGGGACAGTGGGACAGTGGTGCGGACAGTGGTGAGGACGGTGGTGGTGGGGACAGTGGTGACGGGACAGCGGGATAGTGGTGGGGACAGTGGGACAGTGGTGGGGACGGTAGTGGTGGGGACAGTGGTGAAGGCGGTGGTGAGGACGGTGGTGGGACAGTAGTGTTGTGGGACAGTGGTGGGTTTGGGGGCAGTGGGACAGTGGTGGGGACAGCGGGGACTGGGACAGCACAGTGGGACAGCGGCGGGGACAGTGGGGACAGTGGGACAATGGTGGAAACAGTGGGGACAGTGGGACAGTTGTGGGGACCGTGGGGAAAGTGGGAAGATTGGGACCGTAGTGGGACAATGGTGGGGAGCGTGGGGACAGTGAGACACTGGTGGGAGCACTGGTGGGAACAGCGGCAACAATGGTGGGAACAGTGGGGACAGTGGGACAGTGGTGGGGACTGTGGGACAGTGTTGGGGACGGTGGTGGTGGGAACAGTGGTGTGGGGACAGTGGGAATGTGGTGTGGACAGTGGTGGTGGGGACAGTGGTGAGGGCGGTGGCGAGGACGGTGGTGGGACGATGGGACAAGGATGCAGTGGGCACAGTGGTGGGGACAGTGGGGACAGACAGTGGGACAGCTCAGTGGGACAGCGGCGGGGACAATGGGGATAGTGGGACAGTGGTGGGAACAGTGGGGACAATGGGACAGTGGTGGGGACCGTGGGGAAAGTGGGGAGAGTGGGACCGTGGTGGGAACAGTGGTGCGGACAGTGGGGACTGCGACATTGGTGGGGGCACTGGTGGGGACAGTGGGACAGTGGTGGGAACAGTGGGGAGAGTGGGACAGTGGGACAATGACGCTGGGGACAGCAGGGGGGGATGTGGTGCGGACGGTGGTGGGGACCCGGGAGTCGTTTGCCGGCGTTGAGTGGAGTGGGGGGGTGGGGGGGGTTCGAACTTGTAGTGACTCCCCTCCCGGTTCTCTGGAGGGGGGGGGTTCGAGCTGGTGGTGACCCCCCCGGTTTCCCGGAGGGGGGGTGGGAGGTTTGGGGGGGGGGGGCTGCTGGGGGGGACCAGAGGAGGGGGGGGTTACAGCAGAGAAGGGGGGGGTTTTCCGAAGGGGGGGGTCCCCCAGGTTCCGGAGGAAGAGGGGGGGGGAATTTCCCACAGTAAAGCGGCGGTGGATCACGCTCTCTCAAATGTTTGAAACGGATGTGCGTGGCGCTGAGGCGAGGGCCACATTTTGAAACAACCTGCCCTCAATCCGTGAAACCCTTGCACATGATTCAAAAGAATGTGCGCGGCGCAAAGGCAAGAGCCACATTTTGAAAACCACTCGCCCTCAATCCGTTAAACTCTTGAAAATGTTTAAAACGAATGCGCGCGGCGCTAAGGCGAGAGCCACATTATGAAAACGACCCGCCCTCAATATGTTGCAAATGTTTAAAAACGAATGTACGCGGCGCTAAGGCGAGAGCCACATTTTGAAAACGACCCGCCCTCATTCTGTGAAACTCGTGCAAGTTTTTGAAATTGATGTACGCGGCGCTGAGGCGAGAGCCACATTTTGAAAACGACCCGCCCTCCATCTGTGAAACTGTTGCCACTTGTTTGGCTTCACAGTGAGGAAATATCATGCGAAACGCCCGGCCCGCCCCAAAACTGGCCTCGGGGTGCGGCAGGGAGAAGTTATTTATAAGGAACAGGAAGGAGGAGGAGGAGGAGGAGGAGGAGGAGGAGGAGGAGGAGGAGGAGGAGGAGGAGGAGGAGGAGGAGGAAGAGGAGGAGCAGAGAGGAAAAGAAGGAGGAGGAGGAGAGAGGAAAAGAAGGAGAAAGGAGAGCACTGGGGCGTCCAGTATAGGTAAGTGCGTTACTGGGGTGAGCGGGCAGGAACGGGCAGCTCATCATAGCTGGGGAGACGGGAGAGGGAGTGGGGGATGGAGAAAGAGGTGGAGGAGTTAAGATGCGGACTGCTTGCTGACTTTACAGGTTCGAATGGGCTGGTATCCATAATCTGAAGCGTCACCCTGATGTCTATCCTTGCATCGTCGTTGTCACCGTCCCAATGCGCTGAGCACTGCCCCCTTTCCTTGCCATGGGCTGCCTCTGATATTCTCGGTTGCCCGCACTCCGAACCGACCCGAGGAGACGGGGAGTAGAAAGAGGATCTTAGTTTTGAACGTCTTGCGAACTTTTGAAGTTCTGGAGGCCACGGACGCTTCTGGGGGATTCCTTGGACCTCCATGAGACCTCTGGAGACCCTCGGGTGCCTCCGGACACTGCTGGATGCATCCTGAGTCTTCGAGTGAAGGAGGAGGAGGAGGAGGAGGAGGAGGAGGAGGAGGAGGAGGACTGTCGAGTTTCGCGAGGCCGCGGGAGGCTGCTGGATGCCCTGTGGACCTCCAATGGTACCTGCATGAAATCTCCAGAGTCTTTCTGGTGGAGGAGGACAAATGGGTCGGGGGTGGACAGAACCCCCAACAGTGACGCGTCGATTAGTGAATTGTCCGTTTTCGGTTCTCGAGAGGGCGCCGCGGCCGTCATTTTCCAGGCTCGCCCCCTCCAGGTTTGGGCCTCAGGTCGTTTTCACTAAACCACGTTTTACTAAAGGGAGGTCTGTCCATCCCCGACTGGGGATCATGAGATGGGGAGGAGGAGCGGGGGATGGGGCAAACGACTGCCCAGCAGGGCCCCAGTAGGGCTCCGGAGGGGGCCCTCGAGCGTCCAGGAGGGCAGCGGGAGGCGCCCGCTCCTCCAGGGAACCGCGCCTCCTGCACGCGAGCCTCGTTATCCTCGCCCACCACCTCCCCCCTACGCTCCCCTTCTCTCCGCCCCCCCACCCCTCCCCTCCCTCTCCCCCCCCCGCCACCCCCTCCCTCCCCCTCTTCTCTCCCCTCTTCCTCCCTCCCTCTCCCTCTCCCCCCTCTCTTCTCTCCCCCCCCCCCACCTCCCCATCTTCTCTCCCTCTCCCTCCCCTCCCTCCCTCCCCCTCCCTCCCCCCTCTTCTCTCCCCCCCGCCTCCCTCTCCCCCTCCCTCCCCCCCCTCTGTGCGCAGTTTCTCGGCAGGCGCGCCTCGCCGAAGCGACGGGCGCACACCGGGCCGAGTTAGGCATCTTCCTGCGTGCTCTCACGTGCCGTCCGTGCTGCTCGCCCGATCCCCGAGGCCAGGGCCGCGCCCACCCGACCCACCTGGTCCAAGCTGGGCACGCATCCAGCGGTCATTGAAAAAGTCAGTCGTTTTGGGCTCCCAGGTCCCAAATCTGCTCCAAGCGCCTTCCTACTTCAATGATCGAGTGGCTTCACCACTTCCGTCCTTCCCGAGGGGGCGAGCGGGCACCCAATCTTCTTTCCACGTTTTCCTGCTTCATGTTTCTACATACCTCTTCCGACCGATGGGCACGTTTGCCAGTGGAGGTGGCCGATCGTTCGTTCTACCTCTCGGACCTGGCCAGAGGGCCAGGCGCCGCCGACGTGCAGCTAGCAGCTTCTCGCCCGGGGCGGGGGAGGATTGCGGGCCCTCGCGGGCGCGGAGCCACGCCGGACTCGGTGGGCGCCGCGCGGCGGGATCGCGGCCCCCGGAGGCCCCGACACTTTCCAGAGGGCAGGCTTTCTTCCCGAGTCGCCCCTCGACGGCCCAGGGACCCGGCGAGTGCCCTCAGAAGCCGAGGGCGGCGGCCGCCTTGAGTGTCGTTCCAGGCGCTGGACGTCTGGACCCCGCGCTTCGAGCGAGGCGGCGCGGGCGGCGCTCGCCGCCCGCGACGGCGCGCAGGCCGAAAGCTCGCTCTTGCTACGTGCTGCTTTTCCTCCCTCTGTTCTCGGGAGGATTCGGAGGAGGAGGAGCTGCTGGAGGAGCTGCTGGGGGAGTTGGAGGAGGAGTTGGAGGAGGACGAGTTGGAGGAGGAGGAGGAGGAGGAGGAGGAGGAGGAGGAGGAGGAGGAGGAGGAGCTGCTGGAGGAGGAGCAGGCGGAGGAGGCCGAGGGCGGGTTGCCCGTGAGCTGCCCAGCGGTTCGGTCGGTGTGCGGTGTTGCTACAGCCGCGGAAGCCTTCACGCGCCAGCGAGGAAGAGGGGATGTCGGCTGGGCCCAGGCCCAAGACAACTCGTTCCAGAGCGCTCTCAGAGCGTTCCGGAGCTCTGTGGAACGGCCGCGGCGCCCGATACATCCCCCAGAACCGCCGGAGTCAGAGACCTCCGAATTCCGTGTCCGATTTTGCCTCTGTCCTGGCTTCGTCTTAGGAGCAGGAGACAGGAGGGCGACCGATGATGTTGGCTTTGAGAACTCGCTGCACCTGGAGCGGGGTGGAGGCCGCCCCCCCCGCCGAGGCCCCCAGCCGGTGGCGGCGGCAACTTCGCCCGCGCCAGCCGCGGCGGCCCCCCTGAACATCCCGGCGAGCGTGCTGCCGGATGGTGCCTCCGCCGGGGGCCCCCCAGCCCGTGTGGTGGCCACACCGCATGGTTCGGTCAGCAACTCATGTAAGCCTCGTCTGTCCCCGTACTTCCGTATTTCGAGTGCCTCAGCGTGCGCCAGCGTGTGGTAATCGGTGATGGAGCGCCGATTTAGCGTCGATTCGCGTCGGGTAGCGTCGCTTCGTAATAGCCGGCAAGATGGCATGGAAGGCTCTCATGAGTTGCCACCGGAGCGTGGTGAGTCAGTGGGGATTCGGGGTCACCGCAGGGTTTTGGAACTCAGGTCGTTCTCCAAGGGCGTCTCGGGCGACTGGGGCCTCTGAGATCCCGAAAGCCGTGCGGTGACGGGCCGCGCGGTGAGGTCCTTTGGGATTCCGAGGTCACCCCGTGGTCCGTCGTCACACGGTTTTGGGGTCCGAATTCCTTCGTCATCCTATTTCCTCGGGTTCTTCATCACCGGGGGAGTCGGAGAGGATCAGGGGAGGACAAGATACCAATGCCACTGTCATTTTCTCGTCGCCACGGTTGGGTTCGCCTCGAGATCCTGGTGGTCAGAACGTACTTTGGGGAAGGTCCGTGGAGTGTCGGTATTTTTTGTTTCCGAGGGGGCGGGGTGAGGACTGGAGGGTGTCCGCGGTTCGGTCGGTTCGGCCGGGTCGCAGTCGGTTGCATTCGGTCGATTCGGTTCAGTTCGGTTGGCTGCCTCGCCGCTGCGGCCTTCGTGGCTGCTTGCGGCCCGTCGGTTTCGGTCGGTTTCAGGTTCACCGTCTGTGCTTCTGGTTTTCGTGCTTGCTGTCGCCGTGAAAGCTTTGGAGGTGAGGACGGCCACGAAGCTTCCAGATCTCATGTTCCCCTCTTCCTCTTTCAGAGTGCCCCGCGGCCGCCCTTGTCCGCACGCATGCCTCGGGCCGTGATGCGCTAACCTCCTTCCTCGCCCCTGCCTTCGACGCACCCGGCTCCAGGCGTCCGCCACACTCCGTCACCCGGTGCCCTGAGCGCTCCGTGTGCAGCCTGCGCGCAGAGCTTTCTGGCTAAGCTCAGGTCGGGCGTGTCCCCCTACAGGCGGATTGTGGAGGAAAATCAAGAATAGACAAAAAATACCCCAACACTGTCAACACAAGTATTTCCAAAAAGTCCCCAGAGTCTGTTTTTACTATTTTTGAATATTCCTCCTGTAGAGGGACACGCCCGACTTGAAGCCAGGGCGGGGGCGCGCGGCCTGACATTCCAGGCCCTCCCCCCTGGCCGCTGCACCGTGGCGGCCGAGGTCGTGGTGAGACTCGGCCACGCACGCAGGGGGGGACGCCTCGCGGGAGTGGTCTCGGGTGCGCGGCCTTCGCGGGGCGCGGCGGGGGACAGCACCCGGGCGCGCGGGCCGTTGCTGACGTGGCGCAGGGAGCGATCGGCAAGCCGCGCGCCAGAGGTCGCTCTTGCCTGGGGGCCCCTCCTGCGTGCAGCCAAGAGGCCCAGAGCGTCGACGTCGTGTTCTCTCCACGAGGCGAGTGCCCGAAGGTCCCGACCCCCTCCCCGGGACCAGTTCCTCGCACAGGGTCGCTTTTTGACCGTTCTTGGGGCTCAGGGCCCTCGGGCCCCTCAGGGCACCCGTCTTGATTTTGGAGGCTTTCGCCACTTGCGCCGACCCCATGGTGTAGTAGATGCCTGCCACTTCCAGTTCCCCAGGGCCAGAGAGTTGAGTGAGCGTGTTTTCATTCCAGTGCGATGACGGCCGTCACCTGGGGGTTGGGAAGAAGGCCGATGACGTTACGTTTCGCGGCGGCGGCGCGTGGGAATGCTTAGGAATGACCGACGACGGGTAGCAGCAGCAACATGTAGGTGGCGATCTGCACCATAGCGCCTGTATACACCAGTGCCCGCGTGCACCACAGCGCCTGTGTACACCACACCGCCTATGTACACCACAGCAGCCGCGTGCAACAAAGCGCCAGTGTGCACTACAGTACCTGCAAGCACCACAGCGCTCGTGTACACCACAACGCCTGCGTACACCACAGCAGCCGTGTGCAACACAGCACCAGCGTACACCACAGTGCCTGCGTGCACCACAGCGCCTGTGTACACAACGGCGCTTGTGTGCATCATAGCAACCGTGTGCAACAGAGCACCATTGTTGTATGTAGACTTGTGGAAGGAATCCTTATGACATAATGGAGCGCCTGTGGATTCCATCGAAAACATGTTTTACTCCATGATTTGGAGTAATCCTTATGTCAAAAGGAGCGCCGCTGGATTCTACGAGTCCTCCTGAGTCCTCCCGCATCATCCTAACTCCTCCCAGCTGCGTCCAGAAGGCTCCCGCAGAATTGGCCGTCCGAGAACCAAATGTATTGATTCAATCAGTCATTCCGCGGTGCACGCTGAGATGTGCACGTGCGCTGTAGCGCCGACCCGCACGACGGGGGAAAGGGTGACGGATGAGGAGGAGGAAGAAGAGGAGAAGGAGAAGGAGGAGGAGGGATGGGAAAAACACCGCATTCTATTATCAGCATTTCCTTTGCGTGGTGTTTGGTGGTCCGCAGGAGATCCTCACCTTCATGCTCCCTCTACTTCTCCTGTGCACGCAGGCGCTGTGCTGTACAGCAGCGACGCGTTGCACGCGGATGCTGTGGTGTACACAGGTGCTGTGGTGTGCACTGGCTCTGCGGTGCACGCAAGTATTAGGGTGTACACGGGCGTTGTGTTGCACATGGTTGCTGCGGTGTACACATTCTCTGTGGTGTACACAGGCACTGGTGCACGCAGGCATTGTTGTGTACACAGGCGCTGCGTTGCACACGGCTGTTGCGGTGAACGCTGGCGCTGTGGTATACACGCGCGCTGTGGTGCTCGCGAGCTCTGTGCTGTACAAAGGCGCTGTTTTGCAGATCGCCACTTCCATGCTGCTCATACTTGGTGTCGGCCATCCCTAGGCATTCCTGGACGCTGTTCGCGCGGAGCGTGACGTCATCGGGGGGCGGCCGGTGACGGCCGCTATCCCAGAAAACAAGTGGCACGCGTGCCCTGGGTCTTGCACGTTGGAGGAGAAAGGGGGAGGGGAACGTGGGGGGCCGCATGGGGCGCAATTTAGAGGCGCGCGCGGTCATCTGTCCCAGGAGGGTCCAGGGGAAGAAGCCTGGAGAAGAGGACGATCCACGAAAGACCACGAAAATAAATGCTTCCGCTGCCCAGGGGAGCTGCCTTGGGAACCCAGGGGGGATCGTCCAGAAAACAGGGGAGGAGGCCAGGGGAGGAGGACGAACCACGAACGACCACGAAAATAATAAGGTCTGCGGTCCAGGGGAACTGCCCTGGGAAGCCAGGGGAATCGCCCAGAAGCCATAGCAGGAGGGCCAGGGTCCAGGGCCCAGGGAGGCCAGGAGACCAGGGGAAGAGGACGAACCACGACCGAACGAACTACGAAAATACAGGATTCCGTGGCCCAGCCGGGAGGGGGGGGGCAGGGAAGCCAGGGGAGGTGAGGGCGAACCACGAACGGACGAACCACGAAAATGAACGGTTCCGCGGCCCAGGGGAGCTGCCCTGGGAGGCCCGGGGGAAAGTCCAGGGCCCAGGGAAGCAGCAGCGGGAAGTCCAGGCCCCAGGAAAATTAAAAGACAGGTTCCAGTTGTTGGGTGTTTGGCGTTTCTCTGGGCCTCTCGGGAGGCCTTTGTGGTAGCCTCTTATAGGTTTTATCGCGATCGTTTTGGATTGTTCTGCTGAATCCGAAGCGTCGGGAGCACGGTTTGCCGCAGTGTGATGGGTGGTGCTGGTCTGTCCTGGAACCGTTGTGGGGATGTGTTCGGCACGCCTGGGCGGCGTCGAGCCCTCGACCACTCCCGTGAACAAAAGCTGCTGTGGCGGGAACGCCTTGCTTTCTCGACGACGCGCGGTTGTGGGGGGACAGGACACGAGGGCGCGCCAGGCAGCCTCAGGTTGCTACTGCATCGCTCCGGCGCCTGCACGCGCTCCCGAGCGACCGCCGCGCCTGGCGACTTGCCGCTTGCCTCTGGGCTGGCCGCACTCTCGGGGACCTCCGGCCCGTTCGTGCCCGCGCCTCTCGGGCCGGACGAAAGGGGGGGATTGGGAAAGGGGGGGTTACGAAATTTGCTGCACGCAGCTGGTGTCGGCTCTACCGAGGGGCCCATTCCTCGATACATAGCCGCCTCCGGCGCCAGGAAGATCAGCTACGTGAGCTGATTCTCAAACCCCCCCTTTGCTATTCCCCCCCTTTCGCCCGACCCGAGCCTCGAAGCGGCGGCGCCGGCGAAGTGCTCGAGGGGCCGGTCGGCGGCGGCGGCGGCGGCGCGGCGTGCCCCGCCAGGTGCGGCGGACATGCTCGGGGATCTCACGCTGACCAGCTCCGCTCCGCCGCCGGCGCCAGGCGCTGCGGACGGGGTGGGTGGGCCGCAGCGGGGGGGGTCTGGGCGGCGAGGGTATAGTGGCGCTCGACGAGGGCTCAGTGGCGGTTCTGCGTGTGTGCAGGCAGCGCTTCTCCCCTCCCTTCCCATCCCTCTCTCTCTCTCTTCCTCTCGCCCTCTCTCTTCCTCGCCTCTCTCTCTCTCTCTTTCTCTCCCTCTCTCTCTGTCTTTTGTTTGTTTTGTTTCTGTGCGTGTCTAACTCTCTCTCTCTCTCTCTCTTTCTATCGCTCTGTTTATTCCCCACCCGACAGGTTGCGGTTGTTAGATTTAGAACAGGCCCCCCAGCCAACCTCACCCTGCATACCGCGGCCGCCAGACCCCAAGTTGTCCCAATCTGCATACCGGCCGCCAGACCCCGAGTTGTCCCGATGATCCCCGAGAGTCCCGGGTGCCCCGCCTCACGCCCGCGACGAACACGACAGAACACAACATGACAAAAACATAACATGACAGAACGGAACAGAGCATGACAGTCCATGACAGAACATAACATATCAACATTATGACAAAGAAGAGCATACCATACTATCACATAACATACCATAGGACATACCATAGGACGACATACCATAGGACGACATACCAGACCATGACATACCATAGGACGACATAACACAACATCAATTGACATAACCGATAATAACAACGCATACCTTGACATAGCACATCATATCATGACACACCATCACATGACAGTGCACAACACGACAGCAGGGCATGGCGACGCCGAACACGACATAACACAACATGACACAACATACCATGACAAAACAGAGCACGAGCATGACAGAACATGGCAGAACATAACATAGCAATGTCATGACAAAGTAGAGCATAATAGAACATCACATACTATACCAGAGCAGAACACGACATAAGATAAGCCGTCATAGCACAATATAGCAGAGCAGAGCCGAGCATAACAACACACACCTCGACAGAAGATATCAGATCATGACACAACATCACAGAACACAGCATACCACGCCAGTAGAGCATAGCGACTACAAACGCGACATAACACAACATGACACAACATAACTTGACATAATCGAACACGAGCATGACAGAACATTACAGAACATACCATAGCAGTGTCATGACAAAGAATAGCATCACATAACATCACATACTATACCATAACATAACATTACACAACATAATTCGACGGACCACAACACAACATACCATATCATAAGCGAGCATAGCACAACATACCTTGACATAACATATCATACCAGCACACAGCATGACATACCATATCATAGCACGACAGCAGAGCGTAGCGACACATACAAGCAGAGCATATTACAGACTCGAGCCGTCAATAAGCATAGCATCACAGAACATACCAGAGCAGAGCATGACAGAAGAGAACGACGACAGACCACACCATAACAGAACAGAACCGAGCATACCAAAACACACCTCGACAGATCAGATCATGACACCGGAGAAAAAACCCAAACAGGGCTATAGGGCTAAGGGGGCTATAGGGCTATTGAGCTATAGGGCTATAGAGCTATAGGGCTATAGAGTTGTAGGGCTATAGGGCTATTGGGCTATTGGGCTATAGGGCTATAGGGCTATAGGGCTTAGGGCTATGGGGCTAAAGGGCAATCCCGGGCACCCCCGGGCACCCCCGGGCACCCGGGCACCCGGGCACCCCTGGGCACCCCCCGGGCACTCCCCGGGCACCCGGGCCCGGGGCACCCCCGGGCACCAGGGCACCCGGGCGTGCAGCGAAAATCGGCGACAAACCTAACCTAACCATATGAATCCGCTGGGACCCCTACAGAGGCAAGCTCTGATTGGGGAGTATCATGAGACAGCATCACAGAACAGATCATACTACGACAGTAGAGTATAGCGACTACGAACACGACATAACACAACATGACACAGAAACACATGACAGAACAGAACACGAGCATGGCAGACCATGACGTAACATGAAATAGCAACGCCATGACAAATTAGGGCAAACCAGAACATTTCAGAGCATATCACAGCAGACAATGCACGGAAGACGACAGAGCACAACAGAACACCACATAACCAGGCATAACAAGCACACCTTGACTGAACATATCTGATAATGGCACCGCCTCACACACCATATCATAACACGACAGCAGATCACAGCGACACATGTTAGCAGATCATAGCATCATATACTCTACAGAGTCGAGCCGTCAATAATCATACCATCACATAACATACCATAACATACTATTGCATACCAGAAGACGACATAGCACAACATACCATAACAGCAACGAGCATACCATAACACACCTTGTCAGAACATATAATCGCAGGACACATCATCACATACCATAACATAGTACTACGTCAAAGCATCGTGAAACATACTAGCAGAGCAGATCGAGATATATTATATTGAGCCGAGATGTCATCAGCATCATGGAACCGAGCATACTATGACACCGTTTGACATACCATATCATGTCTTAACGTTGTGCCACAGAGTAGGTGATACCACACCATCTCACACCATATGGTGACAGACATGAGCATAACATAGTATGCTCAACCATAGTAGAAGCACATAAGTGAAGAGGAACATCACAACAGCCGACGCACCTAACGTCACGGGCGTCACGGCATCAAGCAGGCCCGTCGACAACAGAACAGGGCAGAAGAGAGCACAACATTAAAGACCGTGATAACATGGAGCACGGTTGAACCGTTATTGAATCCAGAATTTGCAGTTGTCGACCAATTAGGTGACCGCGCGCCGTCGAGACCAAACGCTTACGATTTCGGCAGAATAATTGTGTTTCTCTGCTTTATATTTTTGTGGTTCTCTCTCTCTTTCTCTCTTTCTATCTATCCGCAAGGGCTTCGCCCTCTGCCGCCAGCCCCCTCTCAATCATAATGGGATGTATCAGAGTCGCGTCGGTGCGTCTCGGCGCTGCCCTGGCGCATTTGGGAACATCATGCGGGGGCGGATAGGAATCATCAGCGCATGTTGAGATGTTGGCGGTATCGACGACGCCTACGGCGAATCACCGCCGCCCCTGCCTTTGGGAATCGCCCATGTGGCCGAGAGTTATGGTAAAAGCTCTGCCAAGCTGTCGGGCCATGTGTTCCCCCAGCCGTTGTAGAAACCCTTGGGGAACACTTGTGAGAGGATGGCGGGAAAGATCATGAGGAGGAGGAGGAGGAGGAGGAGGAGGAGGAGGAGGAGGAGGAGGAGGAGGAGGGCTTCTCGGGAGCCTCTGGTGCACTCTTGGGGCCTCCTGGGAGCTTCCCGGGAGCCTTTTGGAGGCAATTTTGAGGCCTCCGTGGGTGCGCCTCTTGGGGGCCTTACGTAGGGTGCTTCTCGGGGGCCTCTTTGGCCGTCAGATGGGCATTCCTGGCCCGTCTGACGCCGTCGGAAGCTGTCTTGGTTGCCTCTCTGGGCCGACTTGGGGCCCTCTTGGGGAGCTCCGGGGCCGTCTTGGAGGCCATCTAGGGTTTCTTGGAGGCCTCTTGGCCTGTCTTGGGGCCCTTTTGGGGCCGTTCTGTGGCAATCTTGGATGTCTCTTGGGCGATCGTTGGGGGCTTTTGGGCCGTCTCGGGCCGTCCGAAGACCGAAAAGAAGCAAATGCCACACTCTTTCAAAACCTAAGGAACTCAATGATTTTGGCCTCTTCAGGAGCGCCAGGTTTTTGGCCCCTGGGGGCTCTCGCTGGGCCTCGGGACTGTTATCGAACGATTCAGGACGAAAAATCAGCCTCGGGAAGTCGTCCAGACCTCCTGGGGCCCACGCATCGACAAAAGTTGCCGCGGACTGGTGTCTGGGCACGCTCACGCGGGCCCGTCGACGCGTTTCCGCCCGCCCGTGCGAACCGTGTCCGCCCTGCGTCTTTCCGCGGCCGGACCGCTACGGAGTGACTCTTGACGCTTTGCGCAGCCCCTCTGGCCCAGCCAGGGACGATTCCTGGGTGAGTTAGTGGGCGAGCATTTCTGAAACAAGGCGGGTTTTTTCTGGGCCTCCCTTGGGGCCCTCTTTGGGCAGATTGGAGCCATACGGAGGTCCCAGAAGGCCATCGGAAGCATTGGGCGAGATGGTAAACATGATAACAGCTGCAGCCGTTTGACGGTTCTTGTATCTCGGGGGCATTCTTGGGAGGCTCCGTGGCCACCTGGAGCCGTCGTGGCGCCCCCTTGGAGTCACTTGAGGCATGCTGGAGGCCATCTGCCGTCTTGCGATGTTTTGAAGGCTATCTTGGTCTTTCTTGGAGCCATCTTGGACGCTCTCGCTGGTCGCCCCCCCCCCCGGTCCAGACCAACCAGGGGGGGTCAGGGGAGGGCTAAACTCCCGCCCGAAGGGTAAGAAGGTTTGGCAGTGGAATTCTGCAATTTCTCCTTCCCCCATGCCGTCGCTATGGGTGGGCACAGGTATTCGAGAACAGCGGAAACCACTCCCGAGAGAGGGAGCTGCCATTCGACGAGCGCATGCAACACCGCAACAGGCCACTCAATCAGCCATCTGGCCGACGGCCATGAAACGAGGCCAGCTGAATTCGAACATGGAGAATACCCTCCTCGAGATTCTTCGCACGGCAACTGTTGATGTCTCGTGTCTCTTCTTTGCCTCTCCCGAATCCTTCAGTCGACGAGCTCGACGACAGACCAGAGAGAGCCGCAAGAGCAACGTCGGCACGTGCTGATCGCCGGCTACGACCTCCATCAAGGGAGGAACGACCACCCCTACCCCCGTCACTGGCGTTTATTGAACGGTCCTGGGCGTTTACCACATGCTGATTCACAAAGGTGAAGCAAAGTTAGCCCTGCACACGCACAAAACACTTCCGCTGCAGCCAAGCAGCTTCACTTCTGTTCAGCGCGAGGACTCGACCCCGATGAGGCCTTCCAGAAAGGGCCTCTCCTTCGAGTGTCGAAGGAGTTGCCATCTCTCCCTCGGCGGAAGGCGGCAGAAGGCCCGCAGAAGCCGGCGGAAGCAAGACGAGGGCGGCTCCGCCGGCGGAAGCCAGCGGAAGTGGAACATGCGCCACCAAGAGTTGGCAGCATTTTTGGGTTCCGGGTCGCCGGAGCCCGCCAGGTAGGGCCAGAGGCGAGCTGTCCCGGCCAAGTGGCCCATGCTCGGGCCCACGTGGCCGAGGGGCAGTGGGGGAGCGGGAGGGCGGGGTGACAGCCTCATTTCTCCTCGGATCCCTCTCTTCCCCCCCCCCCCCTCCCGCGCCCTCGCACTGCGCGCTCAGCTCAGGCTCGCGCGCGCGCGAGTTCCTGTTCTTCGGCCCTCCGCTCCTGCGCCGCGCCCCCTGCCTCTCGCCGTGTGCCTCCCTTCCCTGCCCATTGGCCGCCGAGCGTGCCATTGCGCAGGCCCCGCTGCGGCGCCGGCAGGCGCGAAGCAGTCTCCAGGAGGGCGGGGCGGGGGGGGGGGAGGGCGAATCCGCTCCAGAGCGCCCCCGAACGCTCTCAGAACGTTCCGAAGCGGCGGGGCCAGGACGAGGACGGATCCGTTCCAGGGCGTTCCGGAACGCCCTCAGCGCGTTCCAGAATGCTTTGAGACGGCCGCGGCGCCCGAGACGTCCTCTCGAGCCGCCGAACATCAGAGATTTTCGGCTTGCCCTCGCTCGAGTTTGTCTTCATCATGGCCTCGCATGAGGGGGGCAAGGGCATCGAAGAACAAAGAACGGCGTAAGCATAGTTTCTCGGAGGTCCGCGCGGATTTCTCGGATCGGCGCTGGGACCCCCTGGTGGCGCCTCCGGCGCCGCCCCTGGCGCGCCTTGCGCGCCAGGGGGCTGTGGGTCAGCTGCGGCCGATGGGCGGCTAGCGAGAGAGGGGAGTGAGAAGGAGAGAAGGCGTTCTCAGAAGGTTCGGAACTCCCGAACCTCCTGGAAGGCTCAAGAACAGGTGTCAGAAGGCTGGAGGACGTAAGTCCTCCAGCCCTGTGAGAAGTTTTCTCTGAGCCTTCCCCGGCGACGCAGTAAACCTTTCAGATGGCCGGAGGTCTTTCGAGAAGCCCCGCCGCCTTCTGAGACGGCCTTCTCCTTCTCACTTCCCCCCCGGGCTCGCCGCCGAGTCGAGGCGGGGTGGGGGCGAGGATCGGAGAAGGAGACGGCACCGCTGCCGCCGGCCTCGGCTCGTTGTCGCCCTCCTCGGGGCCTCCTGATGCCGCGGCTGTATTCGCTTGGAATTCTGGTCAGTGCTCCCCCGGGAGATGTCTGGGGTGAGGGCCATCGGGCGGGTGGTAAGGGGGGGTGGCATAATTCAGAGCGTGGATTACCTACCCCGCTTTCGCTTCCAGGCAAAACCAAGCCATACCACGCGCCTCCTCGTCAAGCGGCCTGACCAGTACAGGCTGCAATTTGGCATCGTTTGGTATCTCTTGGAAGCGAGGGTGGTCAAAAGCGAGGTAGGTTTGTTTTCCCCTAATAATAGGGGGCGAAGAAAGAGCACAGTCAACCCGCGCAGTAAGGATGAGCAGTGTTCCAAGGCTGCCCTTGCATCCTCCCACGTCGGCCCATCCTGGACCGCTTTCGCTGGCCGCGCCCCGCCCGCAAAGTGTCGGCATGGCCTTCCAAGGCCCTTGCATCCATATCGCGCGTCCGTCTGATACGGGCTGACTGTAACGTTAAGTCGGGCCTGTCCCTCTGCAGGAGGAATATTCAAACATGTTTTAAAATAGTCAGGGGACTATTTTTTAAACTATTTTTAAACATTCGGGGAGTATGTTATAGTATTTTAAATTCCCGCCGAAAATCCGCCTGTAGTGGGACAGGCCCGACCCAACTGTGCCGCAAGAGCAGCGGTGGCACGTGATGATCGCCGAAGCCACGACCTCCATCGAGGGAGGAGCGACCACCCCCCTGCCCCCCGTTCGTGGCGTCTACACCGGCGCGTGGTAGTGCGGGGTGGCTTCCCTGGGGGCTGAAGTGAGGGCCCTGGAGGAGCTCTCGGGCCCCCTTAAGAAGCGGATTTTGGAGCCTGCGGGGGTCCCAGATTGGGCTTTCCAGGTCGCCTTTTGGGTTCTTCTTCTTCTTTTTCGCCCCCGAGGTCAGGTCAACCCCCATTACCACGCGCCCGAGACTACCCTTCGCCCGTTGAGCGTGGGCATTCTGGGATTGCCAGATTCCAGCATGCTGTAAACGCCTTCCCACGTCAAGAATCGAGTGGTTGTCCCTGTTCCTTCCTTTCAGGGGCGGGCGTTCCTTTTTCAACGCGTTCCTTTTTCATGCTTCTACCCGCTTCTTCCGAAGATGGGTAGGGTGTGTGTGTGTGTGTGTGTGTGTGTGCGTGTGTGGATTTCACGGCAAGGGCCATGGCATCTCCCCGATCTCATGGCCCCCTCCATTCTTTTCTAGATGCAACCCTTGGCCCCCCCCTCTTGCGCGCTCATGCCTCGGGTCACGATGCGCAAACTCCAGTCTTCCTTGTCCACCCCCTTCGGCGCACCCGGTCGAGAAGGGAGGAGGAGGATCTGGATCACCCTCGGAGGCGCGAGGATAATCGCTTCGCGCGTCTCTACCTGGGCTGGAGGGCTGCCCTCTTCTGTGGGCATGCCAAGCTGACCGCTCGTCGCACATCGCGAGGGCGCGATGCTCGAAGTTAGGATAAGCGAGGCTCGTGGTTCGACCATCGAGGATCGAGGTCTTTGTGAGGAGGAGGAGGAGGAGGAGGAGGAAGAAGAAGAAGAAAAGTAGCACATACAATTAACAGTAACGAGGAATAATCACGGGGCAGCTGCAGTCGAGGAGGGAAGAGGATCAAGTCGGACGGAAGGGGGGGCGGGGTGGTATGGTAGCGCCCCTGTCGCCGTGGGGCGCAGCTGATTCACTACTCCCGCCCTTCCCTGTCCCTCCCTCTCGTCCGCCCCGAGACCAGCACCCACGCCGCTCCGATCGCTTCGATTCGATGCCGCGATCCCCCCTGCTCGGTCCGATTCGGTGCCAAGATCCTGGCGATCCGACGCCCAGCATCGCTCGGACATGTGTTTTTTTTTCTCGGCGAGGACCCTTGAAGACCATCCTGGACCATCGAGCAAAAAAAACACGCGCGAAACCGACAAATGCACGGGAATTGGACGTCCGAGCGACGGCAAGATGGCGCCCAGGCGTTTCGCGACGAGGGGCGAGCAATGGGGGGGAGATCGAGGGCCGCACCCCAGGGGGCCCGAGGGCTCCCGACAGCGGGGAGCTGGATCTCTTACATGACCAGTGGCGGGATGTTTTCGATCCCAGGACTTTGTGAGGGTCGGGGGCGACGTCGGGGTGGTGTGGTGTATACTCGTTGTTTCCGCTTCCCGGGGCAACAACGAAACACGTCTACACCAGGAGCCCGTATACACCATGCGCCGCTTTCCTGTGCAAATTTCAGTGCAGGGCCAGAGGAAGCGTCGGTGTATAGAGTTCGGCTCCCCAGGAAGGTGTACCCTTCTTCCCCCCCGTTTCTCCCCTCACTTACGCAGCGCCCGAGACGCGTGCACAGCGCACCTATGTGTGCGTGAGCGGCCGACCCGACGTTCGACTATGGCTGCGTGCCGATGCAGCCCGGTCCGACGCACGCGTCGATTCGATCCGTTTTTTCCGACTCGATGCTGACTGGTCCTGCATGCCTGAAGATGGGGTGGCGTTCCGTCCTTTCCCGAGGCGCTAGCGCGGCAGCCTACACCTGCGCCTGCTTCATTTCCCTCTCTCTGCCACTCCTCGTCCCCAGAGCTCCTCAGAAGTTCCCCGAGGGTCCCCAGAGGCCCAAAAAATGCCTGAATCGTCCAGAAACCTCGACCTTCGATTCTTGATCCTCGCGGGCGGACGGAAATAGGGGGAGAAATCAACGGGGGGGGAACGGGGCTCCTTGCCAGCATTCGATTCTCGATCCTCCCGGGCGGACGGCAATAGGGGGAGAGAGATCAACGGGGGGTGAATGGGGCTCCTTTTCCGCACCTTCCGTGGCCTCGCTGATGGCTCAGGGGCCTTTGAGGGCCCTTGTGCGGCCGCTTTCCTGCAACCCTCGATCGCCCCTCTGCTTATTGCCCCCCCGTGAGCATCCACCCCCCGAGAAAAGTCCTCCGTAGGCCTACGAAGCGTCAACCTGGTTGGGACAACTTGGCCGCCGATGCTCGGCCCTGCCCTTCGGCGGGTTCTGCAAGGGCCGGGTCGAAAGAAACGGGGGGATATTGGGAAAGGGGGTGCGGAATCTGCTGCATGGGTTTTTCGTGAGGTCGACCCTGAGAGGTCTCGATCCCCTCCCCAGGTTCAGCTTTTCATCCTGAGTCGTCTCCGACGGTCCCCGGGCCCTGCGAGGGCCCCCGGAAACCGAAAACGAGCCCAAAAGCAGTCCGTCTGGGGGAGGAGGAGGAGGAGGAGGAGGAGGAGGGAGGAGGAGGAGGAGGAGGAGGAGGAGGAGGAGGAGGAGGAGGAGGAGGAGGAGGAGGAGAGGAGGAGGGGGAGGGGGAGGGGGAGGGAGGAGGAGGAGGAGGAGGAGGAGGAGGAGGAGGAGGAGGAGGAGGAGGAGGAGGAGGACGACGATTTTGTTCATGACCCGAGGGGATGCGAAGTCCGTCGCGCGCTTTGCGCGTGGCGGTGTGGGCGATTCCGGAGCGAGGCGCGAGCCCCTCGCCCTGTCCCAGGGGGGTTGGGCGGCGCGAGGGCGCGCGGAGGATCGCGCTCCGCGGTGCGCGGAGCGCGAGGACGGGTGCCCCAGCTCGGCTCCCCCGCGGCTCGCGGATCGCGGCGAGGGCAGGAGCCCTGGACATTGGCAACCCGTTCAGCATGGGCTGAGGGCGGGCGGGCCTCCGCTGGCCCCCCCCCTCCTCGCCGGCCCTCCCGCGGCGCCGCGCCGGCTGGGCAGCGGGGCCCCAGGAGGCTGAGGCAGGGACCGACCACAGCGCTGCGCAGCTTTATGTCGGGCGTGTCCCTCTACAGGGGGGTTTTCGGCGAAAAATAAGCAATACCCCACAAATACACCAAAAAGGTTTAAAACAAATACTCAAAACATAGTCCCCAGACTATTTTTTGAGCATTTCTTGACTATTCTTGTTTTTTTATTTTTCGTCGAAAATCCCTCTGTAGGGGGACACGCCCGACTTAAGCGTAGCTCTGAGCCTCTGTTTCTGGGTTTGTAGTGTCCCTGTTTGTTTCTGTCTTCTCTCGTTGTTCGTTCTGCTTTCTCGCTGCGTGGCGGCCTCGTTCGGTTCGTCGCTTTCGTTTCACGCTGGCTGCGTTGTGAGCGTTCGTTTGGGAGGTCGGGGTTCTTTATGCTTTTTGTGTTAATCGCCACTTCGTTTTCAACGTCGATGTGGTCGGTGCTTGCCCTAAGGTCTTAACGACTTTTCCCCAATCGACTCTCGGGGATCAAGCCAGGTGGAGACTCTGGCTTTACCATCCCGCGTGTCACGGTCGTTACCCAGGCCAGACCCGTCCCCCCACCCCTGACAACGGGAGCGATCGTGCGTCCGGGGGAGGGTCTGGACTTCCCCCACGTGCTGGTGTTCGTGCGCGCCCCCGCCCCGACGTGCCACTCCCTGTCGGAGCTGTACCGCTACCTGGGGCCACCTCTGCGGGTATCGACCGTTACCGGAAATGGTAAATCGCAGTTTCGCAACCCCATCGAGTTTTAGGTAAATCCATCGATGTTAGGAGCAAGTCGTGAACGCTCCAGCGCGAGTCGAGGGAGAGCAGAAGTCGTTGAGCCCTCAAGGAGGGTGGTGCGTGGGGGGAGGGGAGAGGAAGGGGAATCGAGGAACCAACCCAGACTTCTCGCGTCGTTGAACAATCACGTCGGGAGGCGTTTAGCCGTTTTCGGCCTACCGGGCCCCTTACCGACACAAAGCGACTCAGGATTCAAAGTGGGTCCGTGAGAAGTGATCTTGACCTCCAGGGGCCCACATTGTGAATACACGTGCCACATTGGAGGGGAGGTGAGGAGCAGGAGAAGGAGTTGGAGGAGGCCATGGAGGGGCCTAGACCAGGATTTGCTTTCCGCCAGCCTTCCCTGACGTAGTCGAACGATGGGGACGTTGTGCATGTATCCAGTTCTCTCACGGAAGTGTCTGTGCCGAGGACACCCAGCACACATCAGCGATGTTGCAGTGCAGTTTCCGTCCCCGGCTCACTCCTCGCAGCTCCCGATGGGCATTCTTTGTCACCGCTGAGGCGGCCCCCTTGAAAGACGGGCACCCCGTGGGCCTGTTTCTGGGGGCGGTTGCCCTTCGCTATCCGTGCAGTTTTATCAGGAAGGGAAAAAACACACAGACACAATTAATTGTCGATTCCCCAGAAAATATGGGAAAATATGAGAAGTGGAGGGGAAGACAGAAACCCAGAAAATATTGGAAAATACGGGGAACCTGGTTATTTGTGTCTATTTGTGTGTCCCAGTTCCCCTTCATTCTAGGGTCTCCCTGGCGTACCCTTGACCGGCCCCGATGGCCCCAGGGCCGCAGACCAGCAGGGCTGCCCGGAGCAAAGCATGCCACCGCCCGTTGGGCTCCTCCTCCGTGCGTCTCCGGGCTGCCTCGTGCGGCCCCCGGAGCACCAAAGCGTCTCCAGGAGGGTTCGCAGACGGCCCGAGAGGGTCCCGGGATGACCCCAAGACGGTCCAATGAGGGTCCCGAGACGGCGCAAGGACGCCCCAAGACGGCCAAGGTCGCTTCCAGACGGCCCAAGAGGTTTCCAAGACGGCCCAAGAGGGCACCAAGAATTTTCTAAGAGAGGCCCTGGTTTGAAAAGGACCCCGTGCATTCGCGCAGCAGTTTTCGAATCCAAGTTATCACCAGGCGAGAGCATCCGTGTGATTGTTACGCGCGTTCTTGACGTGTCGCGTATCACCGCCAGCCCATCCCACAAAGATGCCCAGGCGAGTTGCGTTGACCTGGGAAGCGTGGAGCACGCAGTGGAACGAAGGGGGAAGGCATCCGTGAAACCGAGCAGGCCTGAGCAGGCCCAGAAGTCAACCATAATTGCTATCGCGGATCTCTCGACATGGGAGCCACTTGACAGCTTTCTTGGGCTATCTTAGGATCCTGTCGGTGCCATGTTGGACGCCTTTGAGGCCCTCCTGAGGCTCTCGCGGGGCACTCTTGGGGACGCTGGGGCACCTCTTGGGGCCACCTTTGAGGCCACCAATCAAAAGGCCAGGGTTTAAAGCTACGGCACCCCTCGAGATCCCGTAGAATCGCCTCTTGTGGACGCTTTGGGTCCCTCCCGGGGCGATTTTGGGCCAGAGCCAGGCTGAGGTTTCCAAAGCCCGTAGGTATTCGACAGATTTGGGCGTCTTGGAGGCGTCCTTGGGAGGCTCCAATGCCTCTTGAGCCCGTCTTGGAGCGGTCTTGGGGCCTCTTGGAGCATATTGGAAGCCGTCTTGAGCCATCTTGCGGTGTCGTGAACCATGTAGGAGGTCATCTTGGAGTCTCCGAGGCCTTCTTGGAATGATTTTGTGCCATATTGAACGCTCCAACGCCTCGCCGCTACCCTGTTCTAGAGCCAGGGGAGGGTGTAAGAAGAGGGGTAATCCCTTCCCGAGGGGGAAGCAGGGGGTTGGAAGAGGAAAAGCTTTACACCACCTGCGCCCTAAATGGCTGATTGGATCTACATGTATGGTAATACAACTGAAGGAAATCTCTGACGAGCTCCCCATCTTGAAGACGTGCCGGCCCTCAATACGTGTAACTGTTGGATGTTTTTGTGACGGGTTTGCGCGTTTTGCGAGGGCCGCGTTCCGAAAACGATATTGTCCTCCATCCGTATCGTACGGAATCGTGAGGAATCGTAAAACGTGACCGTCGGGATCGTAGATCGGGATCGTGAATCGTTTCTTGGAAAGCTCCAGTTTCGAGGTCGTAAGTCGTAAGGAAGTGCCGAGGGAAGCGGGCGGCCTGGTCTGCGGACACGTCCTGTTGGTGCGACACGTGCGGAGTTCTTGTGTAGTTCTTACGGCCAGTGCCGCCGACCCAGAAGGACGATGACGACGACGACCACGGCTTCCTTTCGACGTTATTGCGACGTGACTCGATCTCCCGTGTTTGTTCGATCGTCCTTACGACGACGTTTCAAAGGAGGCTTGCGTACTTCAGTTTTGGTTGGGCTGGCCTCGCGTCGAAGGGCCTCTCACACACGCCGACTGGGTCGGCGGATTGGTGAGGAAAAGGGAAGGAGGAGGAGGAGGAGGAGAAGTAGGAGGAGGAGGAAGGGACGGGAAGGGCTAGGAGGATGAGCAGTGGAGGAGGCAAGGGGGTCAGAGGAGGAGGCAGAAGGAGGAGCAGGAGGAGGAGGCGGAGGAGTCGGAGAGACGCAGAGAGTCCTCGACCGGCCGCCGACGCGGACCTTTGCGCGGCGGCGGTGTGCAGGCATAGTGTTTAGATTCCAGGGCCGGGGCGAGACTGTGCCAGGACGCGCGGTGTTGTGCGGTCGAGGCCAAGACTCGGGTTGCCCGCAGGGGGTCGCCGTGAAGCGGACGGGTCCTGAGGGAAACGTGTCCTGTGTTTGTTCGCCGTTCTCTGGTTTCCCGGGCTTTTCACGGGCCCCGAGACGGTTAATTGTCTTGGCAGAGGACCCAACCATAAACAGTCGTGAGTACCGTTTTCGTGAATACTGCCGTCAGCTTATCTCCCTTCGGGGCCACGAAGCGCGTGAGAGGTCTGTCGAAACAGGCTTGGAGGCGCACGCGAAACCTGCCTCTGGGGCCTTAGGTGGAGCGCCCTTTGGGGCCACGAAGCTGGCTTGGTGAGGAGTGTGCCGAATCGGAAACGGGCGCGACGCCTACACGTGGACGGTGCCTATGCGTCCTTCGGTGGAGCTCCCTATTAGGCCACGATGCGTGTGAGAGGTGTGCCGAAACGAGCGTGACGCCCCACATGTGGACGGTGCCTCTGGGGCATTCGGTGGAGCTCCGTATGGGGCCACGGAACGTGTGAGGGGTGTGTGCAAAACGGGCGTAGCGCCCACATGTGGACGGTGCTTCTGGGGGCCTTGGGTGGAGCTCCCTATCGGGCCACGATGCGTATGAGGGGTGTGCAGAACTGGCCATGCGGTGGGCAGAGGCAGGGATGGGAGGAGGGAGAGGGGCTGCGGGAGGAGGTGAGACGCGTGGCGCTGTCTCTTCAACACGAGGACTCAACAGCAGGGCTGGACCTGAACGCTGCTTTGCTGGACTTCGGCTGTGTTTTGTTGTTAGTTGTTGGAGGGAGGTACAGGAAAACAGGTAGAGCAAAACGAACAACAAAACAGAAGCAACACGAAAAACAAAGTTTAGGTCCAGCCCTGCTCAACACCACAGGATGGCTCGGGCATGGCGACCTGGGATGAGGAAACTCGTCTCTGGGGAAGCCCCGGGGCCTGCGACCCGTCTCCCTTAAGGCTCGTTTGCATGGTGACACTCGGGGGGGCGGCTCGACTAGACGCAAGAGTGACCTTTCGCCGGAAGGACCTTTGGTGCGGGCACAGATGGGCCCTCGAATGGCTCAAAACGAAGCGGTAGCAGCGGCTTGCGCGCCCAGGTTTGGTCTCCCCGCGGCCCCCAAAAAACCGCGCACCAAAGGTCACTCTTACCCAGGGTCACTCTTGCGTGTAGCCGAGGCGGCGCGAAGGGGATGGCCCGGATGGCCTTCGAAGAATGCGGGAGGGCTCTTCGTCCGGCGATCGTAAACATGGATCAAGGGGGGCGTGCATTGGCGACGGGTCCCGTCTCCGTTGGGAGTCGCGGCTGTCCGCCGCCGAACGAGGCGGCACCGGCCGCAGTTTGGGGAGGGCACCTCCCTCGATCGATCCATGGATCTAGCGACCGTTCGCCAGATCCATGGATCGCTAATCCATGTTTGCGCGTCCCCGGTTTCAAGATGGCAGGCGGCTTTTCAGAAGCCCTCCCTGCTTCTCAGAAGCATTCGGGCGCTTCTTCGAAGGCCCCTGCCGCACCCTCTAAGACGCCCCCCCCGACTTCCGCCCCCACCGCACCACCCCCTCGTGCGCGCCGCCAAAAGACGTCGGCTCCTGCCTTCAGTCGTCTGTCTTGACGTTTGTTGCTGCAGCACTTCTTGGTCCACTGGGCGCCGACGCTGCCCTCGGTTCGATTGCCTCGATGGTGCGCGCCGACGTCTGCGCGTTGAGATTGGGCACGCCACGGCGGATGCCACCTCCCACGGATGTGGCTCGCTCTGACCGGTTCGATTGTGCTTAAGTCAGGCCTGTCCCTCTACAGGGGGGGATATTCAAAAATAGTCAAATCGTCAGGGGACGATTTTCAAACCATGTTTGATTATTCCCCACATGTTTCGTGGGGTTCGGGTTTTCTTCTCACCCGCGTCACCCGCGTTCCTCAGTCACACCCTCTCCCGCGTCACACAGCACAGCGCACCACAGCGCAGCAGAGCATAGCACAGCACAGCTCAGCACAGCACACAGCACACACACAGCACAGCACAGCACAGCACAGCACAGCTTAGCACAGCACGACCCGCAGGGGGGGAGGATATTTCGCTGTCAATTTCAATTTCCTCGACACCACAGGGGGTGCGCTGGTCCCCGAGCTCGGCGTCTATGCGGGCCATGGCACAGGGCATAGCAGGCGTGGCTCTTTCTCGACACCAGAGGGGGTGCGCAGGGGGTGGTCCCCGAGCGCGGCGTCTATGCGGGCCATGGCGCAGGGCATAGCAGGCGTGTTTTTTCCTGGACACCATAGGGGGTGCGCAGGGGGTGGTCCCCGAGCGCGGCGTCTATGCGGGCCATGGCGCAGGGCAGGCGAGGCGCTTTCTCGACACCATAGGTTTCTCGACACCAGAGGGGGTGCGCAGGGGGTGGTCCCTGAGCGCGGCGCCTATGCGGGCCATGGCGCAGGGCATAGCAGGCGTGGTGCTTTCTCGGCACCATAGGGGGTGCGCAGGGGGGGTCCCCGAGCGCGGCGTCTATGCGGGCCATGGCGCAGGGCGTAGCAGGCGAGGCGCTTTCTCGACACCATAGGGGGTGCGCAGGGGGTGGTCCCCGAGCTCGGCGTCTATGCGGGCCATGGCGCAGGGCATAGCAGGCGTGGCATTTTCTCGACACCATAGGGGGTGCGCAGGGGGTGGTCCCCGAGCGCGGCGTCTATGCGGGCCATGGCGCAGGGTATCGCAGACGTGGCGCTTGCTCGACACCATAAGGGAGTGCGCAGGGGGTGGTCCCCGAGCCCGTCGTCTATGCGGACCATTGCGCAGGGCTTGGCGTGACTCTCCGTCCACAAAAGGACTGTGAATGGCTCGAGCTGAACGCACAACACGTTGTGGCTTCCGCGCCGCGCCGCCGGGGTCTCTGCGCTGGTGCGGCGTAGATTCCCTTTCAACGAGATGCCTCCCAAATGGGCTATCGCCGAGCTGCCGCCTCCGTGCTTGCAGCTGGATGCGTTTATTCCCCACATGTTTCGTGGGGTGATCCCTGCCGCGTCGCACCCGCGACCCTCACTCACCTCTCCTCTTCCTCCTTCTCCTTCTCACACAGCGCAGCACAGCTCAGCACAGCTTAGCTCAGCACAGCTTAGCTCAGCACAGCGCTGCACAGCACAGCATAGCACCTCAGCACAGCACAGCTTAGGTCAGCACAGCACAGCACAGCACAGCACGACGGTCGTCCAGGGCACTGCAGGCGAGGGGTTTTGTCGACACCATACGGGGTGCGCAGGGGGTGGTTCCCGAGCGCGGCGTCTATGCGGGCCATGGCGAAGGGCATAGCAGGCGTGGTTTTTCCTGGACACCATAGGGGGTGCGCAGGGGGTGGTCCCTGAGCGCGGCGTCTATGCGGGCCATGGCGCAGGGCATAGCAGGCGTGGCACTTTTTCGACAAAAGAGGGGGTGCGCAGGGGGTGGTCTCCGAACGCGGCGTCTATGCGGGCCATGGCGCAGGGAAACGCAGGCGTGACACTTTCTCAACACCAGAGGAGGTGCGCAGGGGGTGGTCACCGAGCGCGGCGTCTACGCGGGCCATGGCGCAGGGAAACGCAGGCGTGACACTTTCTCGACACCCTACGGGGTGCGCAGGAGGTGGTCCCCGAGCGCGGCGTCTATGCGGGCCATGGCGCAAGGCATAGCAAGCGTTGCATTTTCTCGACGCCAGAAGGAGTTCGCAGGGAGTGGTTCCCGAGCGCGGCGTTTTTGCGGATCGTGGCGCAGGGCATAGCAGGCGCGGTTGTTTCCCGACACCAAAAGGGGTTGCACATGGGGGTGGTCCCTGAGCGCGGCCGCTATCCGAGCGGGCCGTCCAGGGCTCAACGACCGTGGCACTTTCTCGACACCATAGGGGGTGCGCAGGGAGTGGCCACCAACATCATTCGCGCATGCTTCACTTCAGCTATCATCACTCCAGCCATACAATTTAAGTATGTGGGGTTCCTCGGCAGCGTAATGTTTGTTGAATGCCGTGTATATCTTATTTTGTCGCCCAAGCTTCGCCTGTATGGGGACACGCCCGACCCAAGATTGTGCCAGCGATCCAGGCGCGATCTGCGAGCAGGGGGCAGCGCCCGAGGGCGACGGCGCTGCCACGCGACAAGCAGTGGCGGGTCCCGTGAGGGTACGTGGAGAGCCCCAGGAGATTCGGCAGTTTCGGGTCGGGCCCTCTTAACGCCTCAGCGTTGAGGACTGAGGCCTAAGCTTCAGGCCAAGGACTTGAGGACACTCCAACTCGTGCCTCAAGGGCACGTTGGCCGATATTCCGCTTCGCCAGCGACTCGGTTAATAGCTGCTGAGTTCGTTGCTGTAAGTTTGGCGGTCGTTGATGGTGGAGCGCCCACCGCTGCACCGATCGATAATAGAGTCGCGAGGCGACGCGAACTATTTTCAATAGTGCGACGGAGGAACGGCATGTCGCAGTTGAAGCCACTGCAGAGTCCAGGCTCGTATATAGACTGAGGAGTCGGATGTTACCTTGTACGAAGGCGTACGTGCGTTGTTTTTTGAAATCTGTCAGCCTCAGCCTCCATTCCAGCCGTCCTGACATCTTCATCTGGGCGGCGCGCCCAGGAGGGAAGGCAGAGGGGGCCAGCCTTCTCAGAGGGCTCATAAAGCCTCCGGTGTTCTGAGAAGCTTTCTAAGCCATTCCCGGAGGCATAGACAGCTCCGCATAGGGCCGGAGGGCTTTGTGACGCCCCGCCGCCTTCTGAGAAGGTTCGCCCCTTCTCACTTCTCCTATCTGCGCGCCGTCGAAGCCTGCTGACATGTTTACTGCACTCCACTGCAGCGGATATCGCTATGTTCATCTCGCTAGTGTTCTGCCTCCGATGGAGGCAGCCCGCAGTTACCTCCAGCGTCTCTCTTGTTCCTCCCCTCCACAAACTGCTCTCTCATACTGATAACGTCTCCGGTTCCCATCCATTTTTGCAGCACCCATCAGCCTCCTTATCGTCAGGGTTATCGGTTCTCATATTTCTCCCTCCTCGTCTTCCGCATAATCCCTTTCTTCCGCGCGCACGCCTTGCAACGATGACAATGTCGTGTCAGTGCTCAAGGACTGAAGCAGTCTCCGCTTTAGATCTCTGGCATTCAGGTCCTGCGATTGAACCCCGTCTCAGCAATGAAGGCGCTAACCACCACTTTCGGGTCAAAGGATGTAGAGAGCGACGGAACGGCTACACATGGAGGCACTCAGTGTAGTCAGCGAGCAGTTTGTTGACCCAGTGTTCATGGCCAGTATTCCCTACTTGTGTACCATGGCCAGTTGACTTCGGAATTTCCGGTGTGCGGGCGATGAGGAGGAAGAGGAGGAGAAGGGAGAAAGGAGCGGGGAAGACTCCAATGCAGTCACAGGGCGGCGTCTGGTGTCGCTCCCTCGGGGTGGAAATTCCCACCTGCGTCCTCCTTCTTACCCATCCTCTTCCTTTGTTTTGTCGTTCGTTTCACCGCTGGAGGAAGAGGAGGAGGAGGCGGAGGAGGAGGACAGGAGGAGAAAGCATTAGCAGCTCGCGGAGGACCGCGGACCGCGGCGGTGTCGACGACGATGACGAACCCTGCGACCACGACTACGACGACTACGACGACGACGACGACAAGGCGACGGAGAAGGCGGCGACGAGCACGACGACCACGACTTCGAGGGTGACGACGACGACGACGACGACGACGACGCCCGCGGCGGGGCAGTGGAGGCCGCCCTGTTCATGCTGCTGCTGGCCGCCCCGGCCCACGGATCGCGCCTGCTCCGAAGCCGCCGGGGAGCGGGCTTGCCTTCCTCGCCGGGGCCCGCGCCGCGAGGGTCAGCGGCGCCGGGGGCCACACGAGGCCGCGGTGTGGACCCTCCACCAGAGCCCCGAATCATCAGGGGTAACTCGGGTCAGGGATAACTCGGGTTCGTTTTTCGGGAATCCAAACCCGAGTTACCCCGGACCCGAGTTTCCCCGGATAACTCGGGCGTCCAGAGCCCCGAATCATCAGGGGTAACTCGGGTCAGGGGTAACTCGGGTTCCTTTTTCGGGAATCCAAACCCGAGTTACCCCGGACCCGAGTTACCCCGGACAACTCGGGCGTCCAACTCCACATGGGGGCCTCATGGGGGCGTCACGCTCGCGTCGGCCCTCACAGGGAGCTCGCACGTCTCGTGGCTTCGTGAGGCCACGAGGCCACCGCGGCACACGAGGGCGGTGCCGCGTGGTCGGCCAAGAGACGGATCTTTTTAGGGTCCGGCGATCACCCGGGCTATCGGGCTCGGGTTGGGTCGGGGAGCCACCTGGCAGCGTTAGGGCGGATGAGCTCAGGGGGCCAACACATCGACCCCCAATCGCTCATTCGTCGCCGATCGGGGCCTGTTTTGGCCTGCCCCGCCCAGGAACGCCGGGGTCCCTTTCTCGAGGGCCCATCGCCGATCCGTCGGCGAGGCATCGCCGCGCCCAGGCCGTTGCTTCATCACCCCTGGGCCGGTCCCCCCTTCCTGCCTGTCCCCACGGCCTGGTGCCGGCCCACCTCCTCCCCCCCCCCTCTGCTGGCCCCAGTCTGAGAGCGGCTTCGTGGCCAGCCCGTGTTCGCGACGTGGGCCTGCGCGGGCCCGGGCCTGCGCGGGCCCAGGCCCGCGCGTCCCCAGCGCGACTGCGTGCGCCTCCTCCCTCGCTGCTGCGCTCGAGGGTCGCAGTCTCCTTGGGAGTTTCTGAACCACTGGGGGCCGTTGAGGCTTCTCCTGGTCCGCTCCGGAGACCAGAACAAATGGCGCCAGTTGTTTTTGCAGTGTTCGGCGTCCTGGGCCCGGGGGGCGTCGAAGAATCGGCCTGGGCTGACCAGTCGGTCCTGTGGAAAAGAGGTCGAGAGGTCTGGTGTTTCGCTTCTCCTTCTCCTCCTCAGCCCTCTCTACACTCCTTCCTTGGATCCTGGAACACCTGGGACAAGGCTGACGGGAAGGAGCGAGGGGGCGGATCGAGGCGATGGAGGAGGAGGAGGAGGAGGAGGAGGAGGAGGAGGAGGAGGAGGAGGAGGGAAGGGTGAGGAGGAGGAGGAGGGAAGGGTGAGGAGGAGGGGAAGGAGGAGGAGGAGGAGGAGGAGGAGGAGGGTGATGGGTGATGGGTGATTGGAGGACGTAGACGGAGACGATTGATGCGGTGAGGGAACGGATGGTGGGGGGCGAGGGGCCCGAGTGGGGCGAGGAAACAGAAGGGGGGAAGGGAGGAGGGGGCAGGCGCAGGCATTTGATGTCCTGTTTTTCCCGGCCCTCCTTTGTTCGTTTCTCGTTTTGAACAGAGCACTGTGGTCTCCACGCCCCTCCTGTCCTCCTCCCCTCTCCTCCTGCGCTGCTCCCAGGGCAGCTGCGACACGCGCAACCGTCGCCTCTTTTTGTGGGCTCCTGGGAGGTCCAGCGGAGAGGGGAGCAGCGCAGATCCAGCCGGGACCTCGCGGCTTCCTTGGTGTTTGCGAAGTGCGCAATTGTTGCCATTGTTGTGGGATATTGGGAGGTACATCGGAGTGGGGGCCACGCAGATCCAGCCAGGACTTCGCGGCTCCTTGGATGGTTGCGAAGTGCGCAATCGTCACCACTTTCGTGGGGTCCTGGGAGGTCCAGCGGAGTAGGGGCCACGCAGATCCGGTCGGGATTTCGCAGCTTCTTGGGTGGCCACGACTTGCGCAACTGCTTGCCACTTTCGTGGGCTCCTGTCCCGGGCGCCGCCGGTGGACCTGTCCGCGCGCCTCTAGACTTTGAGTGCCCGCGCGGCGAATTGCAGGAAACAGTCTGTGAAGATGGCGCGCGCGCTCGGTCTTAGGACTGTAGGAAGGAGAACGACAAGCGGCGTTTGGGCGATCGCGCGCGAATTGGCTGCGACTGTGGCGGGGCCGTCGGGGATGCTTGCAACGGGCGATGACCGGTTGAATATGAAAAGGCGCGCGCCCACATGGCGCGAGGCGCTGTGTTGTCAGTCAGCAGGCGGCGCTGTTGCATCGCAGAGCGCAGGGCGCTGGAGCGTCATGCAGCGCATGTCGCTGTCCCCAGTGGCCCCCCCCCCTCCTCAGGCGCCCGCCACCTGCAGCAGCAGCAGCAGCGCGCGCGAACCGAGCAGACGTAGCGCGTGGCGCCGTCACTCTCACCGGCGTTCCTCCCTCTTTCCTCGCAATCCTCTTTGCCCTCCTCCCCCGCTTCCTCCTCCTCCTCCTCATCCTCCTCCACTTTAGTCCCCCTTTTCTATGTTGTGCAGGTGCGCGACGTGCGTGCCGCGACATTGCATCGACTTCCCGAGTGTCGCGTATCTCGCATTCTGTCCTCCTGTATGAAACGCTTACATCGATTAACAGTCGCCTTGCGTGCAGAAGGTTTCGGGTGCGTCTCGGGCAATTTCAACGAGGGGTCCCCGAAGTCCTCCAGTGCCGCCTCCTCATCTTGGCACCCCTCAGACGTGCGCGTTGCTTGCATCATCGTGCGGAGATGGATCTTGGAACTTGGACCAGGATGATGTTTTGACCATCGAGAAGGATTTTTGGATCATCGCGCGAGAGCCACCGAGGAGGAGCTTGGATCACCGTGCGAGGACACGCCGCACGACACCGAACACGAAAACACGGGGAATGGGCGCCCGAGCGGCGTCTAGCCCTCCCGCGTCGCCCCGTCGCCGCTGGGCCCCAGCAAACGGGACCCCAGAGGCTGAGCGTGGCCAAACAGAATCGTCGTCTGGTCGGGAGGATCGACATGGGTACGGGAAGCACGGGCACACCGTCCAACGACACGTTTTGCTCCTTCTGAGCAGGGTTCGCCGTCGGCGTCGACGCGGACGTGGTCCACTCGAGACCGAAGAGCGCTGGCCCAACAGCGGCGGTTGCTGGTTTTGGGGCGGCATCTGCCATTGGGCACGGTGCCCAGTTCTCCGTACCCCGTCCGGGCGTCCAGATCCATGCTCGCGCGGCGCGCGGGGCGCCGGGCCCCTGCCGTGCGGCCCGGGCTCGCGGCGGGGGCTCGACGGGCCGCGGGGGCGTCAAAAACCCCTCAGGATGCGGAATTGGTCCTGGGGAGTGGGCCTGCTCTTGGTCGGGCGACGAAATCTATACATATCCACTGCTCCCTGACCATGCCCATCTTGAACCCAGGAGCTGTGTATGCGCCCTCCTGGCCAAACCAGGAGGGCGTGGCGTATACACAGCTGCTGTGTTCAGGATGGGCCTGGCCAGGGATCAGTGGATATGTATAGATTGCGTCGCCCTATCTTGGGGTCGACGTCATGAAACAATCATGCCGTCGGGGGTCTGGAGACGCCCGTGCCCAGATCGTTGGATGCCGGGTTCTTTCTGGTCGCGGCTGGCAATTTCGAATGCACGTGAGAGTGACCTTCCACCGGAGTGACCTTTGGTGCGGGCCAAGTGGGGCCCCCCCGATCGTTGAGCGCGATGCGACGGTGGCTGCTTGCACGCTGGGATTTGGCGCACATTGCGCCCCCTCCTACTCCGCGCACTAAAGGTCACAGTTGCTAGGGTCACTCTTGCGTGTAGCGGCTACATTGTAGCCGATAATTCGCGATCGATCGGCGTTCCAACTCGGTCGCGGCCGAGCGCGACCGATCCCCAAAACGGCCGCGACCTGTCGTGAACGATCGGACGCGACGGATTGGTCGCAATCGATTTTGAAGCAATCCGATCGCGGCCGATGCCGGAATTTGAAACAACATCGGCAGCAACCAATCTCGTCAGTCGCTGCAGAAAATTTAGGCATCGAGTGATCGGGGAGGGACGAATTTTGGGAGCTCCCGAGCCCAGGACGACAACGACGCTGATGGCGACGACGACGACGACGACGACGACGACGACGACGACGGTCGGGGTTTTGGGGGGCCCGGGGCAGGCCACCAGTCTCCGGACGAGGTGAAGCTGGACATGGAATACCGGCAAGAGGACAGCTTCGGGAAGACGGAGGCCGGTTCTCTGCTCCTGTCGGGGAGACGTGAAATTCGAGCTCGTCGGAACTCGGGTTTGCCGACGCGATTTGCGGGGCCCGTCCTGAGTTTTTGCGGTCCGGTTTTTCGTGGGATATTTGTAGCGGGAGTTCGCGTCAAAGTTCAGACTAGGTCTCGTCAGTTTCTTGACGGCCCCGTCAGGCCAACCCGAGTTCCGCGAACCCGAGTCTGACGTCTCCCCGATCTTGACTGTTCCCTCCGCGTCGTGAGGAATTCACGGCGGGAGGTCTTGTTCCGAAGAACCAAAATGGCATATCAATCACTCCGTAGCCATTTTGGCTCAAGCGCTTTGACGTAAAAGGGGAGAGTGTCAACCGCGTGGTGCAAGCTATCCAGTCTCGTGCCGGCAATGGTGCGTTCCAAGTCCAGCATCGTGCCTGTGGCAGCTGTGTTGGCATTGGTCGGATCGGTGCTCTACTTCGGCGGGCAGCCCGGGGCCGGCCCCGACGCGTTCGTGCCGCCCGCGCTGGCCGAGGCGGGCGTTCCCAAGGCGGGTCCAGCGGCCGCCGCCGTGTACGACCCCTCGCTCGACGACGTCTCGGTGCAGTGGTACGGCGACGAGTCGGTCGCGCCCCCGAGGAACTGCGGGTTCTGCATGGGCTGAGCCGGAGACACCAAGTGCCCTGTCAAGGTGCGCTTGCCGTAGGTGGCGCTCACATGGCGCGAGCTGATCCTCCTCCTCCTCCTCCTTCCGCTACTCCCTCTCTAATTCTCCTCCTCCTCCTCCTCCTCACGCCCCCCCCCCCGCCTGCGCTGCAGATGCCGCAGGCCAGGCCCGGTAGGACTGCCAGCCTCTGGGCGGAGGGAGACCCTGGCCGTACTCGAGACGGCAGCTGGCAGCGCCAGAACGCCGGGCAGCGTGAGCCCCTGGCAGGCGCGCTCGACACCTGGACAATTCGAGGCTGACTTGGAGTAGCCGCCCACCCTGACGCGCGGAGCGCAAGGCGGATGACTCGTCGCTGGGCCTGGCCACCGCACGCCCCCGCGTGGGCGGGCGGCCGCGCCGGACGGCTGGGCGCCGTTGAGGGCCCTTGCGCGGCCGCGCGGCTCGTCTGGTTGGGGCGGCCGAAAGGAGGACAGAAAAAAATGGCATATCAATCAGGAGGGACAAAAGCACAGACCCAGGTGATCGTCGACTCCCAAGAAGCTACACTGAGAACAGGGACCGTGGTGGGGAAGAGGCGAGCCTCCAGGAAACACGGCAGAGATTGGGAACCCGGGGGAATCTGCGCCTGCTCATTTGCGTGCCCCTGGGCCCCTTCGACCACAGGGCACCACAGCGGCTTCTCGGCGGGCCGCGCGGCTTGCCTGGATCTGCGTGGGCCTCCCCCCGGCGGCGCCCCGGGCGCCGCCCCCGGCGCGCCAGGGAGGCGGGTCCCGGCGCCGCTGCGAGCAAGCTGCGCGGCCCTCCGAGAAGGCTCGGAGGTTGACAGACCTCCTACTCCGACACGTCGATTCATGGATTGGCCGTCTTCTGTTCGCGAGAGGGCGTCGCGGCCGGTGTATTTTTGTTGCGGGTCCAGGTCCGTCGGTTTCGGGCCCGGGCCGTTTTCACTGCGGAGAGGTGTACTATATAAGGGGAGGTTTGTCCACCGCCGAAAGGTATGCTTACGCAGTGTGTTTCTGCTCCTCCGCTGCTGCCCGCTTCCTGCCTCCGTCGGCCCTGCCGTGCTCAGGGGGCCCGCAAAGATCGAGGGCGGCCAAGAGGGGGGTGAGGACCAGGGGGGGGGGATATGGCGGGGGCCATGATGTCTCCCCGGATTTCATGGCACCTCTTCTTGTTTCAGTGCGTCCCCGCGCCCCCCCTCTGGGCCGCGCACATGCCGCCGGCCATGATTTGCACATCCCCCCTGTTGGACGCCCCCCTTTGGGCCGCTCCCGAAACGAGTGCAGAGGCCACCGTTTGTGGAGTCGGTGTGGACTGGGGGTGGCCGCGCTGTTTCGGGACTCGGGTCGTTCTCCGAGGATGACGTCGTCTCGGGCGATAGGGGCCTCCTGTCGGGAAAACGGAAGATTAAGTCGGGCATGTTCCTCTACAGGAGGAATATTCAAAAATAGTAAAACATTGTCTGGGGACAATGATTATACCATTTTGTTTTGATTATTTTTGGTTATTTGTTCTGACTACTTTCATTTTTCCTCCAAAATCCACCTGTAGGGGGACATGCCCGACCTAAACGTAAGACTCGAGGTCCAACGAATTCGAGCTTGCCCACGGTTTTTGACGGGCCCGTCCTGAATTTTGGCGGTCGTGTTTGTCGCGAGATATTTGCAGCGGGAGCTCGCGTCAAATTTCAGATTGGGTCTTCCCACTTTCATGACGGCCCCGCCTGGCCAACCCAAGTTCCCCGAACCCGAGCATTGCATCTCTCCCCGATCTATAGGGCCCCTGTCGAGGGTCCCAAGATCGTGCGGTGACGGACTGCGCGCTGAGGTCTCATGGGATTTCCAGGTCGCCGCGCAGTCTGTCACGGCACCTTTTCGGCCCCCCCCCAACACAAAAAATACACGGCGCGGGACAAAAAGCCTGTCCCGGAGAAGGGGCCGAGATCTGCACGTCGGTGCCCCCGCACCGAAAAGTCACGGCTTCGCAAGGGCCCGCTGCTACTCTTCCTTCTTCCTCGTCTTCCCTTTTGTCTCCCTTCTTCTTCCTCCTCCTCCTCCTCCTCCATCTCCCTCTCTTCCTCCTCCTCCTTCTCCTTCTCCTCCTCCTCCTCCTCCTCCTCCCCCTCCTCCTCCTCCTCCTCCTCCTCCTCCTCCTCCTCCTTCTCCTCCTCCTCCTCCTCCTCCTCATCCTCTTCATTAAAAAACGTCCACACATCTCGGCCCTGGATCCTCGTGAGAATCGAGGGTTGAGTTTTTGTTCCGCCCCTGCGGTCCTGTCTGGACTCTGGAGGCCTCCAGGATCTTCGCGAGAGGCCGTGGCCCAGGGGCGTAAGTGGGCTGCCCCCGCTGCTGCAGGGGTCCGGTGAGCTGTGGGGGCATTCCGCACAGGCAGCGCCTTCGCGCGCGGCGGGTTGGACCCTGTGCTTCTCTCCGCTTGCTCCCGCCCCTCCCTGCTTCCTTCCCGCCTTTCTCGGGGAAGCGTGGGGCTCGCAGGGCTCGTTTCGATTCATCCGATTCGATTCGACTTCGGTGGCCTCCGATACCGATTCGATTCGACTTCGGATTTCGATTTGGATGCCGATTCCTCAACGGAGGCCTACTAGCCTGCCGATTTCCGCCGATTCGATTTCTCCCGACTCGGCTGCCGATTTCCGCCGATCCGATTCATTTCGATCGCCGATCCGATTTGTCGATTCGATTCTGGGCTCTCCTGGGCTCGAGCTTGCTAGAACTCGAGTTTACCGCCGCTGTTTGACGGTCCCAGCGCTCGTTTGGACGGTCCAGTTTGCGGGAGACGTCAGCGGGAGCTCGCGTCAAAACTCTGATCAGGTCGCGCCATTTTTCTGACGGTTCCTTCGGGTAAACTCGAGTCCCTCGAATCGGGGTCATCCAAGAAGAGGGTGATGACTTATGGGGAGTATCTAATTGATAGCCTTCGGCTCATCCCGCCACCGTGCGCGCCCGGGTTGTCGGTATGCAGCCTATTGGTTGTTCGTTGGGATCTCGTGGGAGTCCTCTCGGGGGCCTCTTGGAGGCAGTTTAGACGCCTCTTGAGTGCCGTTTTGGGGCCTCTTGGGGCCTCGTTTTGGCCTCTTGGGGTCCTTTTAGCCCTCTTCGGGGCCTCTTGGTAGACTCTCGGGAGCTCCTGAGCGTCTCTTGGGGCCTCCTGGGGAGGTGTCTCCAGCGGCGGTCTGGAATGGTCCAGAATCGACTCACTATGATGTGTTGGCTCGATTTGGTCCATGGTGTTTTGGCTCGATTTGGTTTAGACATGGGACTCATTATGGCGTTTTGGTTCAATTTGGTCCAGACATGCGTTCTGCCTCGATTCCAGCTCTCCTGACACAAGACTCACTATGGTGTTCTGCTTCGATTTGGCCCAGACATGAAACTCACTATTGTGTTCTGCCTTGATTTCCTTTCGCCCGAATCTCCACTGGGAAGGCCGGGGGGAGGCGCCTCACCGGTCCGGCGGCTGTCCAAAATCGACTCGTTATGGCGTTTTGGTTCGACAGCCCCCCTCGCAGATCCAGAAATGAGACCGACTGTGGTGTTCTGATCCGATTCGGTCCAGAACTGAAGTTCACTAGTCTGTTCTGACTCGATTTCAACCCTCCCTCATCCAGTAGTGACACTCGCATTTGTGTTCTGGCTCCAGATGGCCCAGAAATGAGACTCGATTACGGCTCAAGTATTCCTTTCACTCGAATCTCCACGGGGGGGGCGAGTGTTCTGGCTCGATTTCAGCCCTCGCAGTTGGAGAAATGAGGCTCACTCTGGCGTTTCGGCTCGATCCTGTCCAGAAATGAGGCTCACTATGGTGTTCTGGTTCGACTTCAGCCCTCCAAGATCCAGAAATCAGACTCACTTTTGTGTTTTGGCTCGATTTGGTCCAGAAGTGAGACTCACTATACTGTCTTGGTTCGATTTCAGTTCAAATATTGCTTTCACCAGAAATTCCACAGGGAAGGCCGAATGTTTTGGCTCGATTCTACCCCTCGCAGGTTCAGACATGAGACTCGTGATAGTTTTTGAGTCGTTTTTTGCCGTCGCACGTCCAGAAATTCTGGCCGTGGCATCAGACAGTGTGGATGCGCAAAGGCTTCTCACCATTCCAGCTGCCAGGAGTGGGATCTCCTGGTTCCCAATGCTGTTCCAAGCGCATTCATGTCACCATGTCGACATGGCGAACGTCACCTTCAACAGCGAGGGCAATTCCGCAATCGTATCGACAATATGAGGTCGTTCTCGCCTCCACACTTTAGTTGCTATTCGGGTGCTTTATTGGGGTAGTTCGATCCCGTGGCGATAACGGGCCAGCGCCATCTGGGAGCGCTTAGGAATGGCTCATTCCTACATGGCAAAGGTGACCAACGGAGGGGGGAAGCGGGGGAGAAAAAGGCATTCCGTGGCGGAAGGGTTCAATCCTTGGCAGAGGAGTTCAATCCCCAGCGTCAAGTTACAACGATCTTTGTTGCGTTCCAGCGTTTCCTAAGCAATGATGTGAAGAACCGCAGCGGTACGCCTGAAAGACCTCCAGAGATTTGTTTTGGGGTCTTTTGGTGCCGTCTGGGGGATTCGTTGGGTCGGCAGGAGGCCGTCTTGGAGGCCTCTTCGGCGCCCTTGGAGCGATCCCGTCGAATGGTCGACATGAAAGAAATATCAAAACATGTTCCATTGGTCAGCGGTTAGTGGTCACTCGTCGTCGTCGTCGTCGTCGTCGTAGTCGTTAGTGGTCGCGGGTCAGTCGTCGTCGACGTCGTCTCATTCTTGTTTCCTCATTAGCCGTCGTCGTCAGTCGTCAATCTTCGTCGTGGTGTTCTCCCGCGTTCCGTCGTCGTCCGTCGTCGTTGTCAGTCGTCAGTAGTCATTGGTCTGTCGTCGTCTTGCATCGTTCAAAAACAGAGGTCAGTGGTCAGTGGTCTGGTGTCGTCGTGGAAGGCATCCTGTTGGATTTCAAGGAGAGGATCCAAGTGAAAGACCCCAGGAGTAATCCAAAGTAATCCCCATATGCTTCCAATTTGAACCCAATAAGATCCCTTCCTGCTGGAGTCCGAAGTGGATTCCAGTAGGCTCGTACAGGGGAACATTATGTTGGGTTCCAATCGGACTCCATGGGTTCAGGCGTCGTTACAGGCCGTGTTGGATTCCAATCGGATCCCTGTAAGACAGAATCATTATGAATTCAAGTCTGAGTCCACAAGGTTATCCAGGAAATCCAATAGGGCTCTTATTGGATTCCAATCGAAGTCGAGTAGAAACCCTGTAAGATCCCAACGCATCGCGTCTACAAACGTTTCTGCGACTTCGGGTCAGTCGCCTCGTGGCGGCGGCGGTGGAGCTTCGCTTGGATTTACATGGCCTGGCGACGGCATGCGATGAACATGCCATTTGAAGGGGAGTATGTTCAAGTAGTCTAGACGAGCTTGCATAGCCGGGTGGCGGTGTATAGCATTTTTGTCTCAAGTCGACCTGGGCGGGCCTTCCCGACCAACTGACAATTCAGGAGGCGCACTGGCAGACGGTTTTCAGGTCCGACCCGAACATTTCAGGTCCAGCTAAAGGTGCCGAGGTGCCCACCGTGTGTGAAATAGTGCATTGTGGTGACGCTGCCCGGTTCATACCCTGCTTGGCGATCTCACTCGTGAAGAAATTTGGACGGACTTGGAAATTCAGCCCCAAAGGGGGTTGCGCCCCATCGCGCCACTGGCGTGACTTATGACTTTGTACAGGGCCCCGCGCGCTGGCCAGGGGCTCGTCGTCTAGCTTACGGTATCTGTTCAGACTCGCTCACTCTCGACGCGCATGCACGGCGACGCCTTGCGTTGACGTTGTCATGCGTGCACTCTTGTTCGCGAAGCCTTCGTAAACGGTCAGTAGAGTCCCACTAGGATTCCGACTTGAAAGGAGCCTATTGTGTTCCAACAGGGTTCCAATTGGATTCCAATATGAGTCCAGCACGCATACATTTATGGGATCCCAACAGGATGCCAGCTGAAACCCAACGGAATCCCGATAGGAAGGAACCCTGTTGGATTCCAATCAGCTTCCAATGTGATTTAAATGCGAATGTAACAGGCAGGATTCTTATTGCATTCCAATGGGACCACCACCATGACGATGATACAACATGTCGTTTGGGTCGATCCCCGGCAGGAAGTATTCCCAGACTTCGCGTGGTCACATGAAGGATTGACGTGCGCGTTCTGGGCTTCAAATTTCTGTACGCATTTGACATGCAATTCAGACAATTGTCGGGGATTGAACCCTTTGTTGGGGATGCAACATGCTTCAAGGGATTGAACCCCTCTGCTGGGGATTGAACCCTTCCGCCAGGGATGGAACCTGTCGCTGGGATGGGTGGGGGGGAGGGCGTTATCGCGAATGATATATATATATATATATATAATCGTATCCGTCTGCTGGTGAGCAACGAAACGCAATCGGATCTCTGTACTATATGCCCTGTTTGGACGTGCGCCTTCCAGGAGGGCGCACAGCGCTGGTACGTAGATCCCCCCTGCGCTGCAAAAAACCGGCTTCAAGTCGGGCGTGTCCCTCTACAGGAGGAGTAGTCAAACATAGTGTTTTTTTTAGTCAGGGGACGATGCTGTAAGTGTTTGTTGGACCATGATTTTAAAGCTTCTGTTTGACTACTTTTATGTTTCGTCCAACGTTCGCCTGTAGGAGGACACGCCCGACCTAAACTGGCTCCTGCTGCACGCACCCCATCGGACTCGGGTCTTCCGCCTCCAGACCTCTTCGCGACGGGCAGTGGCCCGGGCCTCGCGCGCCGCGTGCTCAAGCCAACAGGACCATCGACCTTCCCAGGGAACCCTCTCTGGGGCCTTGCCCCCTCGGTCACCCTTGGTCTGCATCCTCAGTCACTCTCGATGGCCAGCCCCGCTCGAACAGCTCCGGCATGGGCGTCCAAGGCCCTCGCGTCCTCATCGCGCATCTTCACGATCGGTTTCCACTGTACCCCTCCCTGCGGGCAGCTGGCGCCGTCCTGCTCCAAGATCACGTGCGGCGAGTACTCGTGCCCGACCCCGTTCGAGCTGAAGGCCTCGTGGGGGGGGGAGGACCAGGGGAGCAGGAAGCTTGGAGTCGGCTGGGGGTCTGATCAAGGGCAACGACAGGGGGGGATGGCATAGGGGCGATGCATCGACCGACCACCAATCGCCCATTGGTCGCGGAGGGGGGCTCGGTAGCCCCACCCCGCCCAGGAACGTGCGGATTCGCAACCGAGGGTCTGTCGCCGATCCATCGGCGATGCGTCGCCGACTCCAGGTCGATGCTTCCCCCGCTGTGCTGGTCCCCCCCTGAACGTGCTCTGGCCGGCATGCAGCGGGGGCAGGCTCGGGGTGCTCGGTGCGGGCCCCGGGGCCGCCAAAGATGGATCCGGGGGGGGGGGAATTGCACCAGATGGAATCCCTCAGGGGTCCAGTGACTGATTTTGAGCTGACTTGCTTTCATTCCCCGCTGCCGTGACTGATTCTCTCGGGGCCTAACGAGGTCAGACTCCCAGCCGCCTCCGAGATCAGGGGAGCCATAAGTCCCGATGATGCGCTGCAAGAGTTCCAAGGTTTCCAGGATCCCCCAGATGTGTCATTCTGCTACGCACGGGCTCCAGAAACGAGGGCCGCTAGATACTCCAGAGTTGCTGGAACGCATCCTGAGCCAAGCGCATCATGATATCTTCCTCGTCCCAGGGGAGGGGCGGGCGGTCACGTTGTAGTTTCGGGAAGGCCTTGCCTGGCCCCAAAATTCGCCTTTCTCGTGCCCGACGTGGGTTCGACGCAGATTCGACGAGGTCGACATGGATTCGACGCGGAGTCGACGCGCGCGTGCTCGTGCCCGACCCCTTGCGAGCTGAAGGCTTGGCGGGAGGGGAGGAGTGGTACATGGAAGCTGGGAAGAGTGGCCGGGGCCAGTCCTCCCGCTCTCCCCTGCCCCGCCCGGTTTTTCAGTGAGTCCTTCTGGAAGCTCGACATAAAATACATAGCGTACACTTCTTTGCATTTTCGTAGAGGCTACTCAAGGCCGCTGAAGGCCACTAAAGGCCTGTAAAGGCCACATTCATCTAACAGGCAATGAGAGGCCACTAAAGGCCGCTAACAACACACTGTAGGCCGCTGACGGCCACCAAAGCCTACTAAACCGAGGCGGTATATGTTAGAATGAGTTTCCGAAAAGGCTCGCCCAACAGTTACTGACCCTCCAGCTCTTCCAGCGTTGGCGGCGTCGTCCCTGGGTTTTTCGGACTCGTCTCCAGCCTTCGCCTCTTCCTCGGGGAACCGACAGTGTTGGCAAAAGCATACACTTTCGGGGGTCTGCGCGGATTCCTCGCATCGCCCCATGGGGCCCCTGGAGCGCGGCCAGGGGCGGCACCGGAGGCGCCGCCCCGAGGGGCCCCGCGCAGACCCGAGACACTTTTGCACAGAGCTCCAACAGTTTGTGCCTGTGCAGCGTTGTCGTTCTCGATTCGCTGGATCTCCTACTCACACTTGTTTCAGCTTGCCTGCAGGAAGGGGGGGTCGCCAGTGGTGCCCGCGGTCTCGGCACAGACGGCTGCGTTCGGTCTCATCATCGCGCCCCTGTGCAGGGTTTCTCGCGGCCTGATTCGGCCTCGGCGGGCTTCGGTTTCGCTGTCGGTTCGGCCAATTTTCGGACGTGTTGTCGCCGCGGACGTTTGTGGCCGCAAGTGTTGGCCACTGGAGGCCCGCTTCCCAGAGGAGGTACAAGTACCCATACCACTACCCTTCCCTTGTTTTCGCCTTCTTGGGCCTCCTGGGAGGCCCCTGTCGTCACCGCTGCATTCGCCTCGAAATTCTGGTCAGGACGCACCCCGAGAAGGCCTTGGGTCGGAGGTGGATAGACCTCCTACCCTGACACGTCGATTAGTGAATTGGCCGTTTTCGGTTCTCGAGAGGGCGTCGCGGCCGTCTTTTTTGCGGGTCCAGGTCCGTCGGTTTCGGCCCCAGGCCGTTTTCTCTAAGGGGAGGTTTACTGAAGGGAGGTTTGTCCACCGCCGATTGGGGCCAGCGTAATCGGTACCTTTTGGTGTCCCCACGTGTGGTCGCCAGCGACACTTGTGGTCGTAAGCGTTGGCCATTGGATGCCCGTTTCGGGACCTGGCACCATCGAGGAGCGAGGGAGGACGAGGAGCGGTCCCGGAGTTGGCGTCGAGGGGTCTTGGGCCACGTCGTGTAGCGCCCCTTTTGATGAGAATCTCAGAGTTTGGATATCTGTACTTCCTCTCGCTTCGCGGGTGCACGTCCTGAGCACGTGCAGTCCAGACTTGTGGGGCCTGGTGGAAGCCTCTTTGGGGTCTCTTGGAGGCCTCTTGTGGGCTTCTTGGGGGCCTCTTGGAAGCTTCTTCGGGGCCGCTTGGGCCATCTTGGGGACGTCTTGGGCCGTCTTGCGGCGCTCTTGCGCCGTTTGGCTGCTTCGGAGGCCACCTTGTGGGCCTCCCGCAGCTGCCGTGGGGCTCTCTTGGGGTCCTCTTGGGCCGTCTTGGGGCCTCTTAGACCGTCCTGGGGGCCTCTTTGGGCCGTCTTGGGGCCCTCTTGGGCCGTCTTGGGGTCCTCTTGTGGGCCTCTGGGGCAGTCGTAGGACCATGTTGGAGCCTGCTTGGGCCGTCATGGACCCCTCAGGATAGGAAAAACGAGAATGCTAAAATCCCGGAAAAATAATTTTCTATGAAAAACAATGAGTTTGGCCTCTGGAGGCGCTCTTGGGGGTCCTCTTGGGGCCCTCTGGGGCCGTCTTGGGAGCCCCATGGGCCCTCTTGGGGCCATCTTAGGCCGTCTTGGGGCCGTCTTGGGCCGTCTTGGGGCCATCTTGGGCCATCTTGAGGCCGTCTTGGAGTCACAAGAAGCCCATGCAAGAGGCTGAATAAGTTGATTTACCACTTGTTTTTGTAGGTTTTGAGCCCCAGAATGAGGGCCTCCACCTTTGGTACGGCGCTGTGGATATTTGTGATTCAAGACGCTTCGCGTTCACCGCCCGCCCATTCCAGTTCTCGCCGGACGAGGCGAAGACGGCTCCATGACGGGAGAAACATAGGCAGGAATTCATACAATTCGTGTGCTTTGTTGTTTTTGTCCCGCGTTCTCTCTTCCTATGCTATCGCCTACTATGCTCAGGCATGCCTCGTGGCTGTTCGACAGTAGGTTTGTCGTACTTGCTACTGTTAGTGGTGGTGGTGGTGGTGCTGCGGCCGGTGTTGCTGCTGGTGTTGCTGTTGTCGCTCCTGCTGGCGGTACGGTGCAGTGCTGGTGCCGCTGCTGCTGTTGGTCCTACTTCTGCTGCTGCTGCTGGCGCTGCTGGCGCTGGTGCTGATGGTGCCGGTGTTAGTGCTGCTGCTGCTTGTGGTGCCGCTGCTGTTGTCAGTGGTGGTGGTGGTGCTGCTGCTGCTGCTGCTGCTGCTGGTGCTGGTCGCAGTGATGGTGCTGCCGCTGCTGGTGGTGCTTATGCTGTTGACGTTGCTCTCTGGGGGGCCTGTCGGGGTGCTGCTGAGGCTCCGTCGTTGACCTCTTGGGGCTCCTCTGAATGGTTCGGGGTCCTCTTGGTGCTCTTTCGGGAAGCCTGGGGGTCTTTGAGCTCTCTTGGGAGCCCTCTGGAGCCTCGGAGGAGGAGCTCTTGGGGCCTCCTTGGAGGCCATCGGTCACACGAGGGGCGGGGTCCCCGATTGACGCCCTCTCCTCTGGAGCCCTCAAAGTGGCCTTTTGGAGCCCTCTTGGGCCGATGTTTGGCCGCCCTTGGGCGTTCTAGGGCGCCAAGAAGGGCCGAAGAGGAACCCGAAAAGGGCCCAAAAAGAGGCTAAGAAGGCCCCGAGGCGGTCTGGGGGAAGCCCAGGGCGGCTCAAGCGACAGCACTTCCGCGTTGGGTCGCAACTGCGTCCGTCTTGCAGTAAAAACTGGGTGGGGTCTGACCTGGTTTGGGGTCCGTTTTGCGCCCCAACATGGGCCCCGCAGCGTCCAAAATGGACCCCGGAGCGCGCCCAAAAACAGCGAACAAAAGGGAGTGATGAAAAATGACGCACGCGAGCCCGGAAGTCAACTGTAAGCAGCGTCCTGGACAGCCCCGGGGTTGGCCGAAATCAGGCCAAAACCATGGTATTTGCTATTTTTTTTGACATCCCCACGTGTCGGCGAGAATGAGCCAAAGAGGCGCTGTCGAGGGCTCCGGGAGCGGATATTGGAGGCCAAGAAGGGGCCCCGACGGGGCCGAAATGGAGCCCACAGGCGCCCCGGCAGCGCCTTCAGAACGATACCAAGATCGAGCTTGTCTTGGACGCCGTCGAGGAGCCGTTTTGGAAACCGAAAAAGGGCATTGCCGCAGCTGGGCGGCGGAATGGCGGAGGCCTCTGGGGGGGGGGGGGGGAAATGGGGGGGGCTAAAGCTCTGTAATAATCTCACACGCCCCTCAGCCGGATGGGCGGGCGGATTCTCGGGCTTGCGCCACACCGCCGACCCCTCGGGGAACTGGCGGTTGTTGCGTGTTGCTCCTGAGGGCCTTGTGTTCGCTTTTCGGGGGCTTTTTGGAACTTTTTTTTGGGCCTCTTGGGGGCCGTTTCGGGGCCTCCTGCGCTGACCTTTTCAGTATTCGCCGTGCACGCATGGGGAATGTGGCGAGAACCCCAGTGGTGCCTCTTGGGAAGCCTCTTCGAGGCTCCTTGGGGCGTCTCGGAGGCATCCTGAGCCGTCTGGAGGCCATCTTGGGCGTCTTGGGACGGTGTTTCTGCGACTTGGGGCCCGCTTGGACCGTCTTGGAGGTCTCTTGGGTCCTCCTGGCCCGTTTTCGGGCCCTCGGTGCCACCCCCTGGCAGAATTGTTGGAGCAGAATAACCCTCCCGGCCAGCCCGGATAGACCCCCGGCTAGCCCGGATAGACCCCCGCCCGGTCCGGACAGACCCTCCCCCTCCAAATCGACTGGACCGGGCTCCTGGGGGAGGAGTTTGTGGAGTGGGAAACATCTCACACGCCGATGAACCCCAAGGGGTCGGCGGATATTCAGTATGAGCCACTGAGCACGAGTGGATATCAACATGAGGGGGTCTTAGCCTGACGGACTGCGCGTGGGAGTGTCTGAGCATGAGGCGGTCCAACTATGAGAGGGTCAGAATGCAAATGAGTCTGAATATGATTAGGTCTGGGTGAGTGGGTCTGGGAGCGAGTGAGTATGAACGGGTCTGATTGTGAGAAGTGAATCTGAGTGTGAGCGAGTCTGAGTACGAGTAAAAGCAAGTCCTAGTATGAGTGGGAGCGTATTGGTGAGTTTGAGTGTGTGGCTGGTCTGCGCATGATTGACGGAGACTGAGTAGTTGAGTAGGAATCAGTCTAAACGTGTCTCGACAGCCCTGAGGTCTAGTGCCAGAAATTATTTTGGAGAACGATAGCGGCAACAAATGTATTAGATGTTCGGTGTTCTCTCACTGCTGTTGAGAAGGCGACTTGGGGAGGGAGTGTTCTAAGATCCCGCGAGGCAAGTACATCTAGTAATTGCGCCCGTCCCTGTGGACCGAAAGCCTCGAGGGATGCATGCCACCCGCATCGAATGAATCCTCTTCCGTCCTTTACGGGATCGAGGATCAAGTTTCTGGAGGTTTTTGACCACTTTCATGCATCCGAGGACCTCCTACCAGGATTATTCAGGAGGCAATCTGATTGTATTTGGAGGGAGGCGTTCTGCACCGATGGGCAGAAATATGAAATGCTTATGTTGATGAGGAGGGAGGAAAGCGCAATGAGGAAGGGCCGAGGGGCGATGCAGGGAAAGAGGGCGCGCAATCAAATGAGGCAGAAGTGAAGGTTGAGGCATGCTTGCGGCATTGGGTGTGAGCATTCCGCGTGCCCGAGTGAAGCTGGCAACCCGTTTCGGGGCTCAAGAGAGGGGGATCAACGCAAGCGGGTCAGTCAGAGCGCAGGATTTTGCAGGGCCAGGGGGCCAGGGCTGCATTGACCCAGCTTTTGGCGCAGGATCCTGCAGGATCTTGCCATATTTTGCAGGATCCTGCAGGATCCTGCAAGGCCTGACTTACCTGGGTTTGCATTGACCCGGGTCAGTGAGTCAGGGGCGGCCTAACCGACCCCTAGCAGACCATCCCCTTCCGAGACGTCCCCCTCGCCTCGATCCAAGACCTATGTATGCGGCGGGAGGGAATCGTAAAAAAAAGGATGACGTCACGGAAGGGGACGGTTTGCTAGAGATCGGTTAGGCCGCGCCTGAGTGAGTCCCAGACGTTTGTGGGCCGAGTGCCGACGATTGCGAAGCGGGTGCGGATCACGCGGGACATGCCCGAAGCGGAGCGGAGCCGCCTCGGCGCTGCGGCCGCGCGGGCGCGGGCGCTCAAGGCGGAGCGCTCGCGACGGCTTCTGGTCGGCGGTTGCTGGTTCGGGTCCTAGCCCAGGGTCGAAAAAGTGGCGAAGCGTCTTGGCTTGCCTATGGGCCCACCAAAACAAATTCTAAGAATTTTTCGTGGTCTGCGCGAAATGTTCTTAGAACATTTCTGGCTGAGGCTGCCTTGCTTTAGCACATCGGGCTTGTACTCCAATGTCTAGGTTCTTAGGACATTGCTGGATTCTAAGAACATGTGATGGTGTGGTGGGCCCATAGGAATGCCGGGACGGTCGGTCCCTGCTCAACAGGGTGCCCCCCAGCTCTGCGCGCCATGTTGGAGCTGTCGGGGCCCTCTGGGCATCGCGCGGGGCGCTCTGCAGGCCACCTGCCCGCTCCCCCCCCCCCGCCCCTGGAATTCTGGCGGCGCCTCTCGAAGGGCAGGAAGGAGCAAAACAAAGATAGGCATGCAGTTCTTGCGGTTCGCGCGGATTTCTTGGATCTGCGTTGTACCCCCTTCCACTCTGGGCGGCGCCTCCCCCCTGCGCGCTCCGCGCGCCATGGAGGGGGGTCCAGCCCCGATCCACCAGTATAGGATTGCTTGTCTCAAGTGTAGACGTCTGGTAGCCTTTGTTTCAAGCGGCGATGGACGTGTAGATAGACATCTGACAGCCATCCTTTCCACTGGGGGACAGATGATAGACATCTTTGCTGGGAGACCAAGCTCAATCTCCAATATTGGAAGTCCGTGGTGACATCTGGCAGTGTATGCTCGTGCAGCTTTCTCTCTCCTTGTGGCCTTGGGCCCGTGACATCCCCGACAGCACCCGGCCCCAGGGACCCCGGGCAGCGGAGAGGTCGGCCAGAGCCCCTGGTCAGTTGCACAATGCGCTGCAGCAGGGGGGGGTGCAGTGGAGACACATACCAAGACACACCCTGCTTGCCTCCAGGGTGCCCTAGGTTTCTTGGGTTTCGATTGCGTTTTTATAAACACCAAAATCCATGGATGGACGTCCTGGGGTCTTAGGGTAGGGTCTCTTGTGGAAGGTTTCTTGTGGTGCCCTGGGAGTCCAGGACCCGCTTCCTCCAGGAGACCTGCTTCCTGCTCGTACCGAACGGCCATCCTCGGGTGTCACCAGAGGTGTCCCTGGCCCGAGGCGTCCCCAGGATTTCCAGGGGGCCCCCTCGGTCTCCAGAACGCCGCTGACCAGGCTAGAGGGGCTCCGAAACGGCGCGAGGAGCTGGGGCCACCGTGGACCAGGAGCACGTAAGGCATCGACCGGCATCGGGGTGAGCAGCGGATTCTTGTTCACGGAAGCGATTAGTTGCGCGCGGGCCAACCATTTCTCATCAAATGTTTCGCCTGGAGCTTCTGAGCTGAGTACTGATTCCGCGCGACGGGTGACTTCTGCCTTTTTGGGGGACGACGGGATCTGGCTCATAGCCAAATTGGGTCGTAAGGATAAGTACACGCCGGTCGTTGAAAGTAGGTATTCCTGGATTCCCAGTACCCGATCTACTTCAAGCGCCTTCCTACTTCAAGAGTCGATGTGCTTTTGCTGTGTTTTGCTATTCTCTGGGAGAGAATAAACCCAATCTACTTTATCCGCCTTCCTGCTACATGGTTTTGCCTACTTCTTGCGACTGGCGTATCATTTTCCAAGGTTGCACGCCAGATAATTTGCCCATCGGTGCCCCTGGTTAGCCACACGCGGGTGCGGATCGCCTTCGCCTCGCCGCCGACGAAGAAAAAAGTGTAAATTTCAAAGGTTGCCCTTGCGCCCTTGCCTCTCGGCCCATCTTAATCCCTGGCCATGGGCCATGGGTTTTCCACTTCGGTTCCAATTTTGGCGTCCACGGGCCTCGCATCCTTACCGCGCATCCTTGTGATTCACATGGTCGCGCTGCAGGCTGATGTTCGGGCTCTACAGGCACGCCGGTGCCACCTCGTAGTGTCTACGCGTGTTCTTGCCGTCGCTTGAGGCTTCGCCCCGATGAGGAACAAAAACATGAACAGAGCTTCCGGAGCTCCGCGCGGATGTCTTGGATCGGCGCTGGTCACCCCATCTTGGCGCGCAGAGCGCGCCAGGGCAGGCGCCGAAGGCGCCGCCAGGGCTGCCTAGCGCCGATCCAAGCAATTCGAAGGTGAGTGTTCATGTTGCGTTTCCTCCATACAGTGCCGTTTTTAATACATGCTCCGCGTGCAGATCATGTATTAAACATGTAGGGATTTAGTATTAAAAACAACGATGAGTTCATGCATAACTTTAAATCATGTATTAAAAAGCCTAAGTTAACAAATTCCAATGTATTAAAACCTGCCCTGTGAGGTCTTCTCGTTTTTGCCTCGCTGCCCTGCCCGAGGTGGACGGGACCTGCTGCGGCTACTGCTACGCGCCCGACCATGAGATCGGGGTCGACAGGCACCAGGCGATGCGAGGGGGGCAGCCGGGGCAGGGGGGTGGGCGCCGCTCGAACAGGGGCCCTCTTTTTGGAGTTGTCGCGCCAAGGCGCACCCCAGCAGGAGGAGGGAGAGTGCGAGGGAGCGCGAGGCAGGAGACGTGGAAGAAGGGGAGGAGGATGCTGGGGAGGGAGAGGGGGGTGAGGAGCCTGAGCGGAAAGGCGTCAGGAGATAGCAAGAGCGAGAGGGGCCGGGGGGCGCGCCGAGTCAGCTTGCGGCAATCACTGCACAAGAGGAGCGAGGAGGAGGGGATGCCAGGAAGAGAGAAGGGAGGGGGCAGGGGGGGAGGGCGGAGCGGGGCTTCGGGAAGGCCTGAAAGCCCCCAGTTACAGCGCGTTTGGCTCGATGTGGCGGGGGAGGTACCTCAAGATCACGCGCGCGCACACACACCACACACACACACCACACACACACCACACACACACACAGCACACACACCACACGAATACACTGAACACACGACACACAACACACAACACGCAGCACAACACACCACACACAAACACACACCACACACACAACACGCACCACACACCACACAGTACACCTCACACACACACCATCACACACACATACACCACACGCAACACACGCAACACACAATCAGCAGCACACAGCACACACCGACGCACGTACATGCACAGACACACAGAAACACACAGACGCACACAGACACAGACAAACACAGACAGACACACACACAGGAGCACACAGACACACAGACACACACACAGGCACAGACAGACACACAGACACACACAGACACGCACACACACACGACACACACAGACACACACACACACAGGCACGCAAATATACACAGACACATCAACACACACTCAGACACGCACAGACACACACACACAACCACACACACAGACACACACTCACATACACAGACGCACACAGACGCACACACACAAACACAGACACATACACACAGACATGCACAGACACACACTGACACACACACAGACACACACAGACACAGACACACACAGACACACAGACACCCACAGACACACACTCACACACACACACATTTCCGTACACGTCCTCAAACGCGTTGATGACGGCAGTCAGCGGGAAACAATGAGCCAATGCGGGATGTGCACAACGCACCCGCACAGACACGCCTTCACTTTGCGATCGTCCCGGGGGGGTGAATCGCCACGCCCTCAGGCGCGCGCGGGAAGCCGCGCGAGCGCCCAGTATAGTCAGAAGAGACAGGGAAGACGCGAGGAACAAGAACGAGACGGCCTGCCCCACGCGGGGCAGTGGCCGGGCCTAGCGCCAGGGCGCCGGGGCAGAGAGGCAGCGGGCAGGCGCCGGCGAGCGGCGGAGGCAGCAAAGGGAAGCGGGGCGCGGCCGCAGGGCGGGCCGCGGGGGCGGGGCGGAGCGCAGCAAGGGGGGGGGCGCGAGGGCGGTGCAGCAGGGGGGGTTCGCCGCGCCAAAGGCAGCGAGGGGAGGCGTGTTCGAGGCGGGAGCGAGGGCGGAGAGCGCGGCCCCAGGACGGAGGCGGGCGGGTCGAGGGGCAGGCGGGCGGCGCAGGAGTGCGGAGGCATCTGCGCGCCGACAGCGGCGCGCAGGCTGCCGGCGTAAGGTCGCGCGTAGGTGCCGTCGCTTCCGACGTGGCGTGCCGCGCCGGCGGCTCGCGTAGGCCACCGCGTGAGGTCGCCATGCCACCTTGCGTAAAAACCTGCTCGGTTCGTTGCCCGAGTGGGGCGGCGACGGCGCTGCCGCCCTGCGGGGCCGCAGGGGTCGAGCCACGCCGCGAGAAGGCGGGCACCGCTTGGGCATGGCGGCGGGCCGCAGGGCGCCCGGCGCCGGGGCGGTGCCTGGCGCGGGGGAGGGGACAGACAAAAGAAGACAAGGCGATCATTGCGTGCGTGCGTGCGTGCGTGCGTGCGTGCGTGCGTGCGTGCGTGCGTGCGTGCGTGCGTGCGTGCGTGCGTGCGTGCGTGCGTGCGTGCGTGCGTGCGTGCGTGCGTGTGTGTGTGTGTGTGGGTGTGTGCGTGTG